TTTCAGTCAAAAGTTTGCAACGCAGTGAAGGAGACGTTTCCGACCCTATAAAGTATATATATTCTTGATCAGCATCAACAGCCGAGTCGATCTAGCCATGTCCGTCTGTCCGTCCGTCTGTCCGTCTGTCCGTTTCTACGCAAACTAGTCCCTCAGTTTTAAAGCTATCTGAATGAAACTTTGCATATAGTCTTCTATATACTCTCACTGCTATATATGTCGGAACGGGCCGGATCGGACGACTATATCATATAGCTGCCATACAAATGTTCGATAAATTTTTAGAAAAAAAATTATAACTTGGCTGTTTTTCAATATTATTCCATCATATTTGAGATATAGCCACTTTATATTATTCCAGAATTTTGATAAAAATTTTATGAAAATCGGACCACTATATCTTATAGCTGCCATAGGAACGATCGGGAAATTAATCGAAAAAAAATTATAACTTCGTTGTTTTTCAACGTATTTTAATCTACTTTGGTACATAAGCTTTTGGTATTATTTCAGAATTTTGGTATAAATTTCATGAAAATCGGACGACTATATCTTATAGCTGCCATAGGAACGATAGGGAAAGTAATAGAAAAAATTATAACTTCGTTGTTTTTCAACTTATTTTCATCTACTCTGAGATATGAGCTTTACTTATTATTATAGAATTTTTGTATAAATTTAATGAAAATCGGACAACTATATCATATAGCTGCCATAGAAGCGATCCGTAGATGTAGAGAAAATGTAAAGCTGTGAATGTATAACTGTAACTGTCAAACTGTAAAATGTTATGAAACTCTGTTTAGTGTCTGTTTTCGGCATTATAATTTATAATATAAATATGAAAACCAATCTGCAAGGGTATACAAACTTCGTCGTGCCGAAGTTAGCTTCCTTTCTTGTTATTATTTTCATTATATTTTAAATATATTGAAAGAACTTTTACATTTCGAAAATGTCTCCACAATTGGAGGGCAACCTTATAGCATTTCCACTGCCTGTTTCCGTGCTCACCTTTCGTCTACCCTGCATACGCTTATATTGGCGAAAAATCAATGTAATAATCCGCATTCAATGGAAAAGGCTTAGCTCAGCTAAATCCCCCAGCTCATGGCAATTGACAGGAACCGAAGCGTTGCCGGCATCCAGATACAGACAGGGCAAAGCTATTTTATCTTGTTTTACGTATTTATTTTTTCTGTTTGCTTGCAGAGCAACCCGATGCTTTTTTTTTATTAGTTCTGATTAAGCTTTTTGTCGATTCGCTCCATTGTCAATTGCATTTGGCGTTGGCTTTGGCGTGAATGCAAATTGGGATCCGACAGCTGCTCATTACTTAGCCGCTTAACCACGCGTCGCTTTGGATTTGCATTTGGGCTCGGCGATTAAAGCTACGCTCGAGCGTCACCTGGCGCGTACGGAAATTGAAAATTTCGCGAGGGTGGCAAATGTCAAAGTGCCGGCAGCCACGCCCCCGCTGCATGCCAGCCACAGTGCCCAGATATCGCCCACATTGCCCACAATCACACGCAAAAGAATCCGACGTTCGACATCTCCATTCGATTCACCATCTCCGTTGGCATCTGGCAGCGCCATCTCTGTCGCACATCTCATCCATCGCAGGGGCATGTAAATTGCTCTGGCAAACAAATCACGTATACGTACACTGACCGAAATCAAGAATCGAATCGATCATTCAAAGAAATAAATATATCATCCATGAATACAATCAAAACAAAATTTGGAATGAGCTAATGTTTTTTTTTAGCGATACAAATAATTTCTTAAGTTCTTTGCTTATTTTAAACATACTTAGGGCTCCTTGTGTTGTAGTTTTATTAAATTAAAAAATATTTAATATGGCTTAAAAAAATTTTAAAATATTATTCTATTCAATCCATCATATTACCCTTTAATATCTTTACCATGAGTAATCAAAATCCTTCTATTACAAATTTGATTCACTCAAATCAGACACCACACAATAATCTCTGTTTTGAAAATTCCCCCGACTTTTTTACTGTGTATTGCGTATACGCCGTGCAATGCGCCTCGCCCTCGTTCCGCTGTCGTCATATCAAGAGCCGGAAAAGGCAGCTGGATTTTTGCGGTCTGTAGCTGAAAGGCTAAGCAACCGCATTGAGTGACTGAGTGCCGTTATTTGGCCAAGTCCCCCCCGCCCGAGCCCCCGGCCAGGATCCAGACTCCTGAATCCGGGATCCATGGGGGCTAAGCAACCGCAACCGGAAACGGGTCCGACCAAACGCCTCGCTCGCTTTGTCTGCTTGGATTTCAGCGATGTACTCGCACAGACACACTCATTTCCTGTCGGATTCGACATTCGAGTCCTTTAAGAATTTAGTGCACCATTGGCATATGCCTATGTATTCTCTTCCTGTGTATGCACATATGTACCGCAAATATCGAAAAGAGCATCAAGTAAAAAAGTAAAAGAACCAAAACTCTTATTTTTGGATATACCTGAGCTCAATGTGTAAGATATATAAATCTTTCTGTTGTCAAAAATATAGTAATACCTTGGTCCTATTGGTCCTTCGAGCCGGATAAGCCATAGATGGAAAATAAATTATCTTTATATTATATATATTTGGAAGAGACGCTTATACAAACTAGCAGTGTGCATCAAGACATTTGGCTTCCATAAAACGCCTATGTAATTTCCCAGCTAATTCACTCTTCATTTAAATTTCAAAAATACTATTATATTATGTAAGCTCTGCCTAATGAAGCACAATGCACCGCAGCCCTGGAACTCGCTAATCATTTTGCAAACCCTAATGGAAAAGTCTTGGTAATTACTTGAAAATATGCATTAAAAACTTTTTGCCCGCAGCGGCAGCAGATGATAATAAAGCAGACTTTTGGGAGAGAGGGTGAGGGAGTCAGGGCACAGAACTTGATATTGAATCAATTAAAAGAAAAACTCGACAAGGCAATGATGCAACAAATTAAAACGCATACGAAGCGAGCTAATGAAATTCTAAGGCTCGAATGGTTAGGAAAACCACCTCACACAAAAAAGAGAGAAAGAGAGTGGTTGTTAAGAGTTCGGGGGTCCTTTCCTACTCCATCTACAGACAAGGGCGGAAATTACCAAAAAATTGTGCCGAGTAGATGAGCAACAACAATAAACTTGGGCCAAAAATTAAGGCAAGTGGAGTTAAAAGTTAAGCCAACAAATGAAGATGGTGAATGGGAGTGGGAATCGGATAAGATGCGAAGAGGATTGGGAAGGGAGACGAGATGGGTAGATGCGGACGGGTGGTGCAGGCAGGGATCCTGAGCTTGACGTATGGCCTATCGCACATACATACTTATATACACCTAGGAAAAATTCACGAAGTTTGTTCCGATAGATTATGTAGAGCTGTGCCTAATTTAAGACCATCGAAATGGATATTGTCCTTGCAAATATCTGCCTAAGGAGAAGGTTTCCAAAATGTTCAAAGAAAGAATGAAATTTTCTAGAGCACAGACCCTAGACTAAAGCTATCCTTATTTATATACTATATTATTATATTATAATTAATTAATAGATTATAAACTATCATATTCGATATTAAATAAGGAAAAAGTGCTTTCAATGAGAAAGTTGGATTAAGATACTCTCCATATTCCATTAAAATAAACTGTCTGTCCTGGTAGTCAGTACAATCGCTTTCTCTTTTTCAGCATCTTTGTGTGTTTTTGTGACAAAGTCGTTTTACTATCATTTCTCTCTGTGTACATGTGAGCACACCCCACCACACAGAGACAGATGCCGGGGCCAACTTCAAGCGCAATTTTACGCAACAACAAAAAGTTTAATTGAGGATAAACTTTGCTGCGTTTGCGATGCTGTTGAAAATCAACCAACGTCGACATGGAAAATTTCCCTCAACCTAGGGAAAATCCGGGAAAAGTTCGCGGCGCAGGAGAGGAGGCTTTACTAGTGTAGGAATTGCGTGTATGTTTGCCTCTTATCTCTTTTGCTGTTTAAGTTTTCGCTTTCTACCCGGCATTACTTTCCTAATTTCCTTTTTTTCTGTTGTTGCGCTGTTTGCGGGCAAACTTCAGCTTTAAGTCGCTACATCAACACTAGTTTGTAGGCTTTAAAAAGGCGGAGGCAACGGAAGAACGAAAATAATTTGAACATTTATTGGTCATTCATTGCGCCTCGCTTCTGGCATTGTTGCTATAGCAAATAAAAAACTTAACCCTTTAGAGCACCAAACACCGCTTAGTTCACCGAAAAACCAAACACATCCCACCTCCCTGTGCCATATATCTTAGAATCGAAGACCAAGCCAATGTGGGACAATGAAACAAAAATGACCTGAATAAATGGCGGCGAAGCGACACGAGCGATTGACTCTACATGGGCCGCCCTTTTCCATAGAGGGAACAAACGGAACACAGAGCAAACTGAACGGAAAAGGTGATGAAGAACCAATGGTACACGACTAGGGCGATTGTTTAATACTGTGCAATTTTTAAATGTTCTAATTGAATTCAATTGTTTATAAATTAATATATTCGAAATTTTATGAATGGGAAAGCTAATAAAAAATTGTAATAAACAAATTCATTTTAATATTGCAGACCATTATTTTTCATCGCAATCCAAGCTATTTTGCTTTTTGAATTCGAATTTCAATTGCAATTTAAAGATATAGCTTCCACAGAAACGATCGGTAGATGTAGAGAAAAATGTAAAGCAGCGAATGTAAAACTGTAAATATTACTCTTTTTTTAACCTTTATATTTGTAATGTTTATTATATTATTTCAAATCTAATCTTTTTATACGATTAAACTTTTTTTTTATTTCCTCCTCAAGCCCTCCTTGGCCATAAATGTACACTTTTCTGAATACCCAACAAAAACCCCCGACTTCCATATGGTGAACAAACAATAACTCCAATTTTTTTTACCAATTTAAACGATTTTTATTAAGGGCTATCAGTCATTGAACACACAATCGGTTACTTAATCCCTGGGGTCCCTGCATTCATATGTGCTTTTTCACCACAAGGCGGGTGCAGAATAGCCCAATGGGGCTGAGGCATAGGACAACGGAGCCGCGTACCTGGCGAGAACTGGTGCAGCGTAAGGATGGGTGTAAGGAGCGACGAAGGGGGTGGCAACGGGAGCTGCGAGTGGAGCGGCCACCGGAGCCACTGTCTTGAAGATGGGAGCTGGAGGCAGCGGAGCAGCCAAAGGAGCGGCAAAGGGAGCAGCAACTGGAGCAGCGAAGGGAGCAGCCAAGGTTCTCAGGACCGGAGCAGGAGCCACAGCACGCACAATGGGAACTGGAGCTGGAGCCACGGGAACTGGCACGGGCGCAATCACCGGGGCAGCTGCAATGCCATTGAATGTCCTGGCAACCACCTGGCTGCTGGCGGCCGTGACAACGGGAGCAGGGGCAGCAATCAGCGGCGGTGGGAGGGCAGCCAGGGGAGCGTGAAGCAGTCCTGGCTTGCCAGCGACAGAGGCAATCACGGCGCAGATGAGAACGGCCTGCGGGAAAATTGACAAAAATTAAATAATCCATTGGAAAGCTAGGCATCCAAGTGAGAAACTAACGTATTTGAACATGATGAAGGTTTCTTGGCGTTTGATTTAAAGCTGTGTTTCACTTGGTTCGAAAGCAAAGAGCTGACTGATGACAAGCGAAGGCGGCCACTGGCATATTTATACCGCTGAGGGGCCACCGCGGCGGCTACTTAATATTCCGAAGGCATGACGGCCGTTGGCCCATTATAAGTGTCTGAGAAATATTAGTTGGTAGCTCTTTGCGTTTTAGGTCTTCGAGGGCCAGCACAAAACCCGAAGGGCAGCCAATTGCACTCGCTGGCTAATTATACAGATATATGTTATGTATTTGTGGACTGCAATTTCGCTGTGAGGCGCAAAATACCTCATTTGGTTCATGGGCAGCAGTACGAAAAACCAAGTTGGCTTGTGGGTCAGACCTTCGCACCGGGCACGTGGCTAAACCTCTAACCGCAGCTCCTGCTCGAAATTTATTTTTGCAAAAATAGAAATAACAATAATTCAAGTGAGCATTTCCAACACACAAACTCAATCCTTTCTGTCTGGCCAATGGCATTTCCATGGCGAACCTGTTGGCATCCACAGAATACCAGCATGTGTGGACTAGTACCAGGCACTCGGCCAATTAAGCATTTTGAGCACGTGCCGCCTTTGGCCGGCAGTAGAAAGCACACATGAACGCACACGACTGATTTTGGGAACTCCTCCACTGGGCGGTGACATTACAACATTTATTGTTTTGGCCATTCGGGTCAAGGTTGCAGGGCGGTTGCGGTTGACTGACCTCTGCTATTTGTTTAGAGAATTAAAGAACGGCTTGCCTAATCGACAGTGAAAGTAAACAATTGCAATGGGAACGCTTTGGGTGTTCACTTGTGGACTTACAGGTTCAGTTGTTACGTTCCTCAATGGCCTTCTTTGAAGAAATTGGGAAAATACAATGGAAATTGAAATATCTAACACGTGTAATGTAATATCTGGATAATGATAATGCTTCGAGATATTCATTGGTAAAAGTTTAGCTTAGATGGTTCTACTCTACTCCAGGAGTTCAAATATATATTTTTATGACCAAGTGAATGGATACAAATTAAAACAAATGGCTTGAGTGGAAGCCAATCGGGTCACTATACTTTTTCAATATACCCTTGCAGGGTATTCTAATTTTAGCCAGAAGTCTGCAACACAGTGAAGCAGTTATTTCCGACCCTATAATGTACATAATATATTCCTGATCAGTATCAACAGCAGAGACTAAATTAAACTATCTAAATGAAACTTTGCAGATATTCTTCTGACTACACTACCTAGTATATACAATCGTGGACATACATAAGTATTTTCACATAAATAAAAATTCGCATTTTGTGTTATAAACTCTAATTTATTTATCCAAAAAATATAAATGAAATTTATTTATAACAATAGTGTAATAAGACAAAAAAAAAAACAACAAAAATAATACATTTGAAATTACATCTTATAAACTAAAAATACAAATTCATTAAAGTGGGAGGCCAAATGTATTTTGACATAACCTAATTTGTTAGAAATTTAATCAGAATTGTCAAAAATGTTAATAATGAGTAGAAATTAGTAAAAAAATAATCCCTTCTCTGGCATCTACTACCTTTTGTAATCGTGCTGGAGCAGATTTTACTAAATTTTGAAGCGTTTCAAGGGAAATTTCATTTCATAGTCCTTCGACTTCATCAATTGTCTCCTCTCAAGTTCTTGTTAAGTTTGGACTCCCCTATGATGTTGAGATCGGGATTTTTGGGTGGCCAATCTAAAGATTTTACTTCCAAGTCGCTGAAAAATTTTGTTATCATTTTTGCTTTATGGCATAGAGCATTATCCTGCTGCATGATAAAGTCTTCCCTGTTAAGTGTGTCGCCGGTAAGCAATTCGTGGTCAATCAGGATATGCAAATTCATCGTCCCATTGATGGGGACCAAATAACAGATCCCGTTAAAGCAGAAACATCCCCAAAACATGACACTGCCGCCACCATGTGGTACGTTGAATGAGAGGTACCACTTTCTTGCGAATATTTTTTGCAGTAAATTTTATTTTTTGAACCATGGTACTCAAAAGGACTCTCATCGGTCCATAAAATTTGTTCCCAAATGGATTTAGGCATGTTTAAAATTATTTTGCCAACGCTAATCGTTTCAACTCATTTTTAGGTGAAAAAAGTTAGCCTTTTTAAGTCTTCTTTCTACTGTTTTTGTACTAATTTAAAAATCATAATCGTTTTGAACTTCCATTGAAGCTGCTTTTGGTATAATAAGGACATTATCTTTAAATTTCAAAGGATTAGACCAGCGATGGGCACGCAGTGGCTCAATTTGCTCACGCTGCTCAAACCGTTATCTTTTTTCGGAGGCGCCAGCATGTCGCACAATTGCAGACGCACAAGTGCAGTGCTCGCGACCAGCGAACCGTGAAGATTTACAAAAACAACCACACTGACCTTTGGCGCAGGTAGCGAGCACATCCCCGCGATCCCGAGTTTGCAACAACAAAACACAAGCGACCGAACTCGTCCCAAAAACAAGAACAATTTTAAAGGGACCTGCGCGGCTGGCGTTGACTTCTGCACGTTTTTCTTAGGCGGACATAAATGCACGCAAAAATGGCTGAAGATATTGATCTACTCAAAAAGTTTTTGTCAGTGTATTTTCTCGGCTCGCACATTCTGTGTGTCGCGTGGGTGCGACGCTTCGCAACGCTGGGGGTTGTTGTTGTTTTTTTTTTCAGCGAGCTGCTGCTCAAACCGTTAGATCTCGTGCCCATCGCTGGATTAGACGATCTTGTGTAGGCGTAGTCTTGCGTGGTCGCCCTTTTCTGACTAAATTATCCGTCGAAATTGTCAGTTTATGTTTGTTAATTTGGTAGTAAATGGTTTGTCGGGGTACTTTATAAAAATGCTGAGGTTCTGGACCGAAATACCTGCTTGGTACTTAATTACTATTTCGTTTCGCTGGAGTTGGCTTAGCTCCCGTGTTTTATCCATATTTTCATTAAACAACGGTACAGAAATTAGGAAAATTGACAAAAAAAGTACTAAAGCTGCTAACAGATTTATAAGCTGGAGTTGTACATCATAATAAACTGTCTTTAATGCGCACGAAACAAATGAAAACTGATTGAATGCAATGTCAAAATATTTTTGTCCACCCAAAAATGCATGATGTCTTACTTCACGTGACATAGCAAAGAAGTTAATTTACAATCGTGGACATAAGTATTTTGACACAGTTTGTAGCTATATTCCAGCGCGTGTATCTTAGTACTCGTAAAAGTTACGGGATCCATTTAGCTTTTAGCCCATTCCTCAATTTAAGCCGTTTTTAAATCATTTTTGTTTGAAATATTACGTTCCCGAATTTTGGAGTCCATTCTAGACCACAAATTAGAGCTGGAAAAAACATCGATGTAACATCGATGTTATCGATGTTTCCAAAAATATTTTCAACATCGATTGCTTTTTGGAAACATCGATTATCGTCACTTGCAAGCGAAAATCAGAAAGCGTGGTAAGCAAAGAACAAATTTTGTGCACAATTTTTACAAAAACTAATCTATATTTCTTGAATTTATAGCGATTATATAGTGAACAATATTGGTGGTGTTGGTGCAAAGTGCTTGTGTAATGGACACGTTCATTAAAAGTAAGTAAACTGAATTATATATAATTTTGTGCAAAATGCGTACGCATGTGTGTATATGTATATGTGTGTGTGCGAATAAACTTGCATGCATGCATGTATGTATTCTCCCTTCGTGTACATATGTACATACATTCTTAAATTAACTAATTAACACTTATTTCTTTTAATACAGGAAGCGGAACTGTGTTGGACGATGAGAACGAAGAAAACATACCAAGTCCCAAGCGGCCAAAAAAGGAAATTTCAAAGGTATGGAAGCTTTTCAAAAAGGGCTCAAATCAAACAGCGACTTGTTTGAAATGCGGCAAAGTCTATAAGACATCTGGAAATACCAGTAATTTAATGCAGCACTTAAATACGGCTCATTCAGAAAGTGTGCAAAACATTACAAGTTCTTTGTCGCCATGTATGGACAAATTCCTTAACAAAAAAGGTAAACAATACGAAAATGGCTCTGCGCGGAAGGCTACAATTGACAAAGCAGTTCTAAAAATGATAGCCAGAGATGTGCAACCATTTACCATAGTATCGGATCCAGGTTTTGTAGAGCTCGTAAATACTTTGGATCCCATGTATAAACTGCCAAGCAAAACACATATGCGTAACGTTACTCTTAAGAGCGAGTACGAGGCCTTAAGGGTAAAACTCCAAGTCATTTTAAATCAAGTGGAATACGTTGGCATTACCACTGATTGCTGGACGTCAAAAGCCAATGAAGGCTATATTACAGTGACTGTTCACTTCGTTTCGCCAACTTTTGAGCTCCAATCGGCAGTTTTATCAACGGATAAGTTGATCACGCCAACGAGCCATTCAGCCGATACAATAGCGGCTTCTTTAAAAGTTGTATTAACAGACTGGAATTTACTTAGAAAAGTAACCACTATTGTTACGGATAATGACGTGAGCATGATAAAGGCTTGTAGGGACTTAGAATATAAACACTTGCCATGCTTCGCACATACAATTAACCTGCTGGTCCAGGAAGTGCTGAAGCACCCAATGGTGGCTCCGTCCATATCGAAGTGTAAGCGCATAGTGACTTTTTTTAAAAGCAGCACTATTGCATATGAAAAGTTTAGGCAGGCCCAAGGTGAAAAAGCTTATAGCTTAATCCAAGAGGTTCCCACCCGCTGGAACTCTGCTCTCTACATGGTGCAGCGCATATTAGCCACAAACGAGCATATATCAACGGTGCTTCTGAGCACACCAAAAGCCCCACAGCCGTTCTCAGCAGAGGAGATCTTTATTTTGGAAGACCTTTCTAACATCCTGGAGCCATTTGAGCACGCTACTCGGTCTATTTCAACAGAAAAAAACGTTTCAATATCAATATTAATTCCTCTCATATGCGAATTAAACAAAAAGATGATTGATATTAAACCAAAAATTAAAACAACAGAGGGAATATCGATTTTCGACTATCTAACGGCTCGTATGCCAGAGCGATTCGCCCATTATGAGGTTAGAACAGTCCCAAGAGTGGCAACTATCCTCGATCCAAGATTTAAAAAAGATGGGTTTCTCTCTCAGTCAAATGCAGACCAGGCTGCAAAGGCTTTAGAGAACGAACTGTTCAACACACTGTCCAAAACACAGCACGATCCGCCAACACCACCAAATCCAGAACCGGAAAAGAAAAACTTTACTTTTCTACAGCAGAAAGTCGCGGTTAAAACCAAGTCGGCCAGGACAGACGCTATTATAGCACTAAGACAATATTTAGAGGCTCCAAATTCCCCGGAGAATGTCGAGCCCCTAGCGTTCTACAAGGTTTGAAATTGTACAATAACATAAATCCTTTTAAATCTAATAAACTTTTTTTTATAGATGTGCCCGGATTCCATGGACGCCATGAAAAGTATTGCAAAACAATATTTTTGCGTTCCAGCGTCTTCCACGGCGTCCGAGAGGACCTTCAGCAAAGCTGGCCAAGTGATTAGTGAGCGCCGGAGCTCCCTAAAACCTAAAATAGTTAATATGTTGCTATTTTTAAACAAAAATAACTTCCTTTTTGATCTCAATTAAATACATTAATTTAAACGGCAAAAAAATATTCGTTTTTTTTGCGATAATCGATTATAATCGATGTTTTCATTCGAAAACATCGCAAACATCGATTGTGGCCAACATCGATGTTTTTCCAGCTCTACCACAAATTCTCAATCACAATGAGATCAGGTGACTAAGCTGGCGGTTTCATAACGTGAGGACAACTATACACAAGCCAATATTATACAATTTCAGACATACAGGCCTGCTCCGGTAATCGTAAAATTTTTTCGATTTCGTTTTGGACGAAAACGAACCGTTTTCGTTTTTAGCTGCTCCGGTTTTCGGCAAATTTCTGCTATCGGAATGTTTCGTTTTCTCATCGCTTCTCACTGATCAAGCAGCTAACTTGTGTTTTTGGTAATACGCAAACAACGTAAAGTACTGCCTTTTATATTTACAATTGCCCTTTTTGTAAGCCAGAAAAAGGCAAAAAATGCTAGAGTTAAGCAAATCTAGGCATCTAAGATGCTGCCACACTTTTCACAGTTTTAATTCCGGTGGTCTCAAATAATTATTTGGTTAATTTGGACCATTTAAGTAATTACATTAAATAGCTTTAATTATAAACAACCATTTTGGCGGTTCTTTAAAGTTATTATTGTATTCATTTATATTTTATAAGTATTTTTAACTGGCTGTTTCGTTCCACCAACAATATGGCAACCTTGGCGATAACTTTTTGCGGTGAACTTATCGACCTATCGCCAAAACGAGAAAACTGGTTGAGCACGGCAAAATTTTCGTTGTCAAATCTGAGGTGGGGTCAGAAATAAATTTTTTATAAAATAACTACCTGCCAGAATGATCTTGTGGTGGTGTGGAATAAACAACCATAGACCACTGAGTAAACTATTTTTTTCCTTTTGTAAATAAGATCTGATTTCATATAAAAAAAGCCATTTACTTTTCATTCCGGCCAGAAAAAGGTGCCCGTTTTCTAATCGAAAAAATCTTTCGTTTTCGATTACCGGAGCACCAATTTCTCGTTTTCAAAAACGAAAACGAAAACGAAAAAATCTTGCCGTTTTCGATTACCGGAGCAGGCCTGATAGTCTTTAGGTCGTTGTATTGGTATAACCGAAACTTTTCTTTTATACCCATTTTCTCGGTACTTTGGAGTAAATTATCCTTTAGGATATTGAGATAAACATTTTTATCCATTTGGACTCATCCGCGAAAATTAGATGATTCCAGAACTCAGAGTCCTTGCTGATGTGCTCCTTTGCTAATTCCAAACGACACTCTTGATTTTTATTATTTATAAACGGCTACTTAGGTGCAACTCTACCGTGTAAATCGTTATTTGGAAGAATTTGACAATGATTTCTGGACAGCTAGACTTCCTGGTCATTTCCTACATCTCACTAGCTACTTTTGGTGCCGATATTTTTTTTTATTGTTTTTTGTTAACAATAAATTGTTCATCGGAGGCACTGAAAATGATGATCGCAGCTTTTCTACCTTTATTCTCGATACAATTTTTGAAAACAAAACAATGTATTATGGTTTTAACTGTGCCATCAGGTAAATTTACCATTTCAGCAATTTTCCGGCGAGAATGTCCTTTCTTGCAATGATTTTGGACTAACTCAGGATATTCTAGAGTAATGCGTTTCCCCATCGTCGTAACACTGGCATTCGCGATCAAATCTTACTCAAAGTTAGGGATATACATAAGTTGTGAATGCAGTTAACATAAGCAACAAAAAATAACCGTTATCCTTACTAACCAGACAACGAAATCGTTCTTGGAATGTTATGGGTCAAATAAGCTGTGGCGTTAAAATAAGCAGTATTTTTTGTTTTTATTCATTAATTAAGAAGATGTTGGTTAAAATGAATAAACTAAACTATATTTTTTAAGTAAAAATATCAGCTTATCAAAAATTGTCTTCATTGAAAAAACCCAATTTTTCACTTTGATGCACTATAAAAAAGGGAATGAGTGGGCGTGGCACATTTTTCACAAAATATGTAAATTTTACAACAATTGGCTGTCAAATTAAATTAAATTATTTTCTTATCTTATTTGGTTCAAAAGTTATCATCTTTGCAACGTTAAAATGAGAAAAGGCGCTACTGTGCGACGGTCACACCAAGAAGGAATTATCTCGAACAAAAGTGGCGGCACACTGAAGTCTCGCCAGGTCCTATATAAAGAGGGCCACACCGTTAATAGGTGCCTGTTGCTCGACAGCAGTCGCCCCTGGGCGACGGTGTTTTCCGGATCATTAGCATCACCGCCAATTGGTGCGGAATTCGGATTTTTCGCCGTTGATGGTACCTGCATGAGTTGTTTTGTTGTTCGACAGTCGATTCTTCTGCGCGTCGCATGTTCTGCAACAGCGCTGTTGCCCAGAACATCATATGGAATATTCCATTTTCACAATCCGATCCAGGAGAGTTGCTTACTGCAAGTACTAGTTCTATTTATATCGAAAATGATATAGAAGAAATAACTATTGCTGCTAGTACTAGCAGCAATAATATAGAAATTAATAGCGAAAGCATTCATAGTACTGCAAGTACTAGTCCTATTTATATCGAAAATGATATAGAAGAAATAACTATTGCTGCTAGTACTAGCAGCAATAATATAGAAATTAATAGCGAAAGAAATGACAGAACAGATAATCGTAGTACAAATGATTATCCATGCGATTCGTGCACAAACAATGAACTTTAATTTTTAAACCACCTGATAGTCGCACATGATATTAGAACACAAAAACGCAGACAACAATTGCTTCGTCAAATAACATTTAAGAAACTAAATATTGTCCAAGCAAAATGCCCACATTGCGAAATGGTATTTACACAGAAATGCCACTTAACAAATCACATCAAACATAGGTATTCAGCAAATAGTGAACAACTAATTGAATGTTTAACAGAATGTCCATATTGTGATGTTACATCAATAAATATATCTACATTCATTGATCATTTGCTTAAAAACCACGGCCTCAGAGGTAAAGGGCAATTAGAAAAGGCATTGAAATTGATATAAATTAAAAATTCATGCTCGGAAAAATTCTATTGTACAATAAGTATGTGCAAATATGTAGTAGACAGTAAAAAAAAAACTTAGCTGTCATGTGAACACATTCCATTCGAAGAACAAAGTTGAAAGTATGGCTCGAACCGATAAGAAATACATAGCAAATAAAGCATCAGCAGCATCATTAAAAAAGCAGAAATAGCAGCAAAAAGAACAGCAAACTTAGCAGCATTAGCTGCAAAACAATCATTAGCAGCACATCAATCAGCAATAGAATCTGAAATAGCTGAAGCAAGAGCAGCAGCGGTAGCTGCTGCAACAGCAGCTGCAGAAACAGCAGCAACGAAAAGTACTAAAAGAATGCACATCATAACTAAAGACACTTTGTTAGACGAAAGTAACTTTGAAGAAGAAATGATTGCACCGAAACGCATGAAGACATCGTTTGTAGAAAACAAACATAGCAACAGAGGAAACAAAGAACACAGAGATACAGGAAGATATCGACTATTTAATAAGTGATATACTTACTGATTCTGATTAAAATACAATTTGAACAAATTGTAGTTGGCATTGAGAACTAATTGGATCGGTTTTCTGTAGGCATTGAAAGGGCACAGTAGGCGGTACAGCAACACATGACTCAAGCATGGATTACGGGTGGAATAACGTCTCAGGTAAGCGGAAATACAGAGCTGCCGGCAAACTCTCTGGTGGTCTCTGCCTTCTATTTGATTCATTGTATTGATACTAACTAACACCCAGCTGCCATGCAATATGGGAGTTAGCTTACCTTTTCGGTTGGTAAACAAAATTTGCCTGTGCTTCTGTGTGTTTGCTTCCCTTCAGCAAACACTAGAGGTGGAGAAAAAAAAAAAAAAAAAAAAAAAAAAAAAAAAAAAAAACCTTCTTTAACGAGACGCAGATGAGCCGACGCATTTTTCGTCTTGCGTTTCATCGGCGAATTCCGAATCCGAATTCCGCACCAATTGGGTGATCATTAGATCCGGAAAACACCGTTCAGCCTGGGCGACCGCTGTCGAGCAGGCACCGATTTACGGTCTGGCCCTCTTTATATAGGGCCTGGCGAGACTTCAGTGTGCCGCCACTTTTGTTCGAGATTATACCTTGTGACCGTCGCACAGTAGCGCCTTTTCTCATTTTTACGATGCAAAAATGATAACGTTTGAACCAAATAAGATAAGAAAATAATTTAATTTAATTTGACAGCCAATTGTTGTAAAATTTACATATTTTGTGAAAAATGTGCCACGCCCACTCATTCCCTTTTTTATAGTGCATCAAAGTGAAAAATTGGGTTTTTTTCAATGAAAACAATTTTTTGTTATATTTTTTATTTCATTTTTTATCTTTATTTTATGTATTTGCTCAAATAAAAATAATTTGAAAACTGGAAAGAAATTTTTTTTTTATTCAAAGCGTAACCGCCACGCGCTAGTTAGTATATTTTTTGGTTTGTATGAAATTGTGTCGGTATTTTGGTATATTTAACCCTGAGTAGTTTTGGTTTATGCTGTTGCATTTCCGCAGACGCAGCTCGCCGCAGCAGATGTAAGTTGATTTTGGTCCAGAATAGATCCACAAAGGTCGTAGTTATAGTGTAATAGGTGGCTCAGCCCAGCGACAAAAAGCGACATACGATACTATCGCAGAAATGCGTCGATATATCGATTACAATATCGTTGACTGCAGCCTCACAAAGAAGAAGAATAGTGTTAGATCTGTCTTTTAAATTTTTGAGTCGAGGAAAAGAAAAGATAAAAGAGGGAATATGGGGTCCTGGAAGATAATGCTTTGCCACCTTTTTTATTCTTTTGGTATTATTTTTGTATGATTTATGTAGAAATAGTGAGTATATCAATGTTGACAACATCAATATCAGGTATAGATCTATATAGAGCGTATGGCGGGTTTCAGCGATAGAACCCGCATTTTCACCGTGGAACCAGCAATGTTCAATTCTACTTTGAATCTGGGGACCTCGAGGCCTGCTTGCCGGTTGGTCTAGTGGCTACACTGCTGCCAACTTTTGCTCAGCAAAATAATCTGTGTTTGACCGGAAAATCTCAGATAAAATCTAAAAAAATGATCAAAAAATCCAATAAAAATCTAAAGAGGAAAGAAAAATGTATTAAAAATAAACGAAAAAATGTCAAATAAATATCAATTTATTAAGGTAATTTTTGCTTCAAATATTTCTATAATTTTATCAATATCTTCTTGGTCGTCCTCATTTGCGTATGACATATTAGTGCCTATCATGCGCAGATATTTTAAAGGCGGTTCATAGTCGACGCATCATTTTCCAATCCTTCGCAATCCGTATCTGTATATTAAAATAGCAAATGAATACACTATATCTTTTGCTTGTAAATAACACTTTACCTTATGCTTAGAATTCTGTTGGTTAACCTGGCTAAAAAACTTTCTATTTCCGCGTTTGACCAGGGCTAACATAATATTTGGATGGCCACAGTTGCCAACAAATCTTCGGTTGCCACCAGAATCTTTAAGTTGGAGCACCTCCTCAAACCTAATTTTGTTTGTGTCGCCGATGGTTTCCCACGTGATCAAATTGACGTTATTGTATTAGCGTTCAATTTCTGCATTATTCTTACATTCCAGGAACTCTAGAATTTCTGTGATGCTGACACTTTTTCATATTTGGTTAACAACACGGAAAAAGCCAACTTAATTTCTAAAAAAGCCAGAATTCCCGCAATTCACAAATTTTTCCCGCAGCTCTGTGGGAACACGAGTTTCACTTATTTTAAAAATCCCAACCGTTCCTCAAAAATGCGCTGTGTGGGAAGACGTTATTAAATTAAATTCCATGATTTTTTTATTAACCTTCAAGAGTTCATTTCCCTCAATGGCCTTGCAACCTTGACATAGTTATGCATTTTAACGGATAGTTTCAACTTCAAAACAAAACATTTTGGTTACTCTTAAATGTCACGAATTCAGCAACTGTCCGCGGTATCCAATAGTTTGTCCAGTGGCTACGTGAGTTGCATTAAAATCAAGGGAGTTGAGCACTGGGCAGTCATCACTGCTGATTATGGCCACTGCCCGCAGTCTGTAGCTAATTAAATTAAAAAGCCCCAATCAGTTCGAAGCGTCTACTCCCCGTCAGTTAAAAAAAGGTATTTGCTTTTAATATTAATTGTTTATTGGTAGTTCTTAGAGCAAAACAGGACCGCCAGCTGGCAGTGCAGTGTAGCCCAGCGGAGATGTATAAGCCAGCGGGGACGAGTAGGCCAAAGGAGCTGCCACGGGAGCTGCCGCGTACTTGGCAATCACGGGAGCAGCCAAAGGAGTGGCCACGGGAGCGATCACGGGGGCAGCTGCGATTCCATTGTAGTTCCTGGCGATCACCTGGCTGCTCGTGGCAGTCACCACCGGAGCAGGAGCGGCGACAACAGCAGCGGGGGCAGCATAAGCCAGGGGAGAACTGTAGGCAAGGGGAGCGGTGTAGGCCAGAGGAGCACCCAGAAGTCCTGGCTTGGCAGCAGCGCAGGCAACGAGAGCGAGGACAACGACGGCCTGTAAAGCAGAAGGTGTGATTAATTAAACTCCCTAAGGCTCCTTTCCTAGAGATCTTACGGATTTGAACATGTTGGCGTGTTTATTTGCTTGGCTTCTGTGGAAGGCTGGTAAGGGTTTGATGTTCAAATGCCCCGGCTCGAGCTTATTTATACCCAAAATCCGTCTTCAGCTGTGACGCATTCAGTTCATTGAAATGCTCGATCGGTATCCCGTTACCATTTGCACTTTACCATTATTTATGTGAATTCCCACTGCTGAATGTCGGGTAACTGACGATGGCCACTGAATTTGTTACCCTGAGGTCACAGTATCTGCGTTGATGGTGTATAAATAGCTCCATGGAAGGTGCTAAACGACATCAGACAAGTTCAAGTCTCCGAACTACCAGCAGCTAATCCTACAAGCAAAATGTTCAAATCCGTGAGTTTTGACTCTGAAGAGTCTGGATAAATTGATTTAACGCATTTTCACCCGCAGGCTGTTGTCATCCTGGCCATCATTGCCTGCGCCGCTGCTAAGCCTGGACTTCTTGGAGCTCCTCTGGCATACACCGCCCCGTTGGCCTACGCTGCTCCCGCAGCTGTAGTGGCCGCTCCTGCTCCTGTGGTGACTGCCACGAGCAGCCAGGTGATCGCCAGGAACTACAATGGAATCGCTGCTGCTCCCGTGATCGCTCCCGTGGCCACTCCTCTGGCTGCTCCCGTGATTGCGAAGTATGCCGCTGCCCCTCTTGCCGCTCCCCTGGCCTACGCTTCCCCTCTGGCGTACAGCGCTCCTCTTAGTTATGCCGCTGTTCCTTCCCCCTTCTCGTCTAAATAATAAAACTGTGATCAAAAAGATAAATAAATGAATGTCTCCATTAGGAATGTACTTTCGGGAGCTATTTTTTCGCTTATTTTTTAGTTTCATAGGAAGGAACCACATGGTGTTACAGTACACAGAACAGTGTAAACGAATAAATATTCTCTATTTGCAAATCAGAAGAGTATGGCCAGACATTGCCTTACCGTATAAGTCAGCTATATCTTAAAGCAAAGTTTAAACTTTCATACCGCAACTGCGGATGCTTTCCGATTGTTTTCTATACAGACATCAAGCATTTGCTCATAGACGAACTGAACCACAGCTACAATATGACGGATTTATATATATTGGGGCAAAATGGAGCAAAAAAGGATAATAAATTTAGTTTATATATACTTTGCACTTTAATGATACATAAATATATTTTGGCACAAGTTGGCACAAAATTTTGTATAATCCACAACAGACCGGTTAGCAGGTCAGCTTTTTTCTACTTTTGGACAACACAAATAAACGCACACAAAGAGCACGTTATCAAACATGAACAAAGTCTATTTTAATACAAATATTCTACATACCTTTGCCTTTCTTTTCCATGATTTTAGTAAACATTGCTTAAGCCACAACAATTTTGTCACGCTCGCAAGTAAACAAAATCTTTCTCGCGCTTTTGAGTTTCGCACGCACCCAATCTAAGAGCTGACTTTGAAGGGCTGCCAAAATTTCCGGGATGCATCAAAACAATTAAAATCGTTTGATACATTTTAGCCAAAGTATATACATACTATTCAAATTTTATTATTAAAATAGGTCTACTTTCTATGAAAAATTTGAATTTTCGTGTATATGTATAACGGCTCGCTGGCCCAATGTGCGCAGGCGAAGTTTTGGGCAAACCATGCTCGGTTCTAAGTTAAAATGTTAATAACTGTTTTTTGTAACTCCAAATCTTTTTTTATTTTGCTTAAGAATTGCTTTTTAAGAAAATCATTATATATACATACATACATAAAAATACAACAAATATAAGAGTATTTCCAGGTTTTTAAACTTGCTGAATCAGACTGCGGTAGTTTTTGAGTCGAACGGTGATGGTTAAACGACCTCCCAAAGTGAGAATAAATCTGGTTAAAGGGATTAATATCTACCAGGATTTTGAAATATCTTTGTCCTAGGCAATTGTTCCGATATGTGCAGATGGCATTGCCTTAGTGGTGGAAGGAAAAGGTCCTCGGCTTTCTGATATCAGCCTTTGGAAGTGGTCTTTTAGATCGAAGTCCACAGGGTGGGGGGGGTTAAGCCCGCCCTGCTACCCCTTTCAAAGATGTCTCTTTTTAATGTTGTTACCTATGAAGAGGTAGCTTTGGCAGGGTCTTGGCCAACGAACCCTACGAACTGCTGCTGCACTATAAGAAAAAAATCTCTTTTTAAACCCTTGCAGGGTATTATAATTTCAGTCAGAAGTTTACAACGCAGTGAACAAGACGTTTCCGACCCTATAAAGTATATATATTCTTGATCAGCATCAACAGTGAGTCGATCTAGCCATGTCCGTCCGTCCGTCCGTCCGTCTGTCTAGTCCCTCAGTTTTAAAGCAATCTGAATGAAACTTTGCATATAGTCTAGCATATACTCTCACTGCTATATATGTCGGAACGGGGCGGATCGGACGACTATATCATATAGCTGCCATACAAATGTTGGATAAATTTTTAGAAAAAAAAATATAAATTAGCTGTTTTTCAACATTTTTGCATAATTTTTGAGATATGGCCATTTAATATTATTTCAGAATTTTGGTAAAAATTTTTTGAAAATCGGACGACTATATCATATTGCTGCCATAGGAACGATCGGGATTTTAATAGGAAAAAAAACTATAACTTCGTTGTTTTTCAACGTTTTTTCATCTACTCCGGGATATAAGCTTGTTTTATTATTCTAGAATTTTGGTATAAATTATTATATATTTCATAAAAATCGGACAACTATATCATATAGCTGCCATATAAACCTATCGGTAGATGTAGAGAAAATGTAAAGCTGGGAATGCAAAACTGTAACTGTCAAACTGTAAACATAAAAATATAGGTAAAATGTAATGAAATAATATCTGCAAGGGTATACAAACTTCGAAGTACCGAAGTTAGCTTCCTTTCTTGCTTTTAACAAAAATTAATTTGTATGATTTCTGAATACCTTAAAAATATCAAAACTATCAAATCATTCGATTCTTTACTTTATTGAAATTACTATATATTTACTTAAACTTTTCTGATAATGAGGAAACAATTTGGTAGCTTAAAAAAATATTAAAATGTAAAAAATGTTTGCCAGGTATGATATTCTTGTAAAAAAAATTGTGCACTGCTCGTGTTGTTGAAGTAATTAGATATCACGTAATTGCCAAGTTTTGCTAAAGAATAACAAATTAAACTACTTTTTCCAAGCAAGACAACTATGATCCGATAGTCACCCAAAGTTATAGTTCTTGATTTTATTATTTAAAACATAAAGAATCGAGAGAAGAATACATACATATATAGAATGTGATGAGGTTTTATCAGTTTTTTTTCTGACTTTGTTCTGTCCTTGATTCAAAAAATACATAAATATTAGTCCGCCACACCAAGCCATTGAATCGGAATTGTATTAAGAAAAAAGGTTTTCATGAAAATTGAAGTTCGAATTGTAGTATATCTGTATGAATAAAGCTTTTTTCGAAAATGAATTCCAAAGCGAAATATAAACATTTTCAGATCTGGCTTAATATAGGCGGTATACAGTTTTCGCGTTTCAAAATTCGCCCACAGCTTCGCCTGCGGAATGAAAGTTTAAACTTTGCCTTTGCCTTTGGCCATACTCTTTTGATTTGCAACTAGAGAATATTTATTTGTTAATGCCACTCCTTGTACTGTAAAATTATGTGGTTACCTCGCTTTGTTACTTTGCTAAAAACTTATGAAACTAAAAAAAATAACTCCCGTACGTACATTCCTAATGGAGACATTCATTTATTTATCTTTTTGATCACAGTTTTATTATTTAGACGAGAAGGGGGGAAGGAACAGCGGCATAACTAAGAGGAGCGCTGTACGCCAGAGGGGAAGCGTAGGCCAGGGGAGCGGCAAGAGGGGCAGCGGCATACTTCGCAATCACGGGAGCAGCCAGAGGAGTGGCCACGGGAGCGATCACGGGAGCAGCAGCGATTCCATTGTAGTTCCTGGCGATCACCTGGCTGCTCGTGGCAGTCACCACAGTAGCAGGAGCGGCCACTACAGCTGCGGGAGCAGCGTAGGCCAACGGGGCGGTGTATGCCAGAGGAGCTCCAAGAAGTCCAGGCTTAGCAGCGGCGCAGGCAATGATGGCCAGGATGACAACAGCCTGCGGATGACAATGCGTTAAATCAATTTATCCAGACTCTTCAGAGTCAAAACTCACGGATTTGAACATTTTGCTTGTAGGATTAGCTGCTGGTAGTTCGGAGACTTGAACTTGTCTGATGTCGTTTAGCACCTTCCATGGAGCTATTTATACACCATCAACGCGGAGACTGTGACCTCAGGGTAACAAATTCAGTGGCCATTGTCAGTTACTCGACATTCAGCAGTGGGAATTCACATAAATAATGGTAAAGTGCAAATGGTAACGGGATACCGATCGAGCATTTCAATGAACTGAATGCGTCACAGCTGAAGACGGATTTTGGGTATAAATAGGCTCGAGCCGGGGCAGTGGAACATCAAACAGTTACCAGCCTTCCAAAGAAGCCAAACAAATCAAAACGCCAACATGTTCAAATCCGTAAGATCTCTAGGAAAGGAGCCTTAGGGAGTTTAATTAATCACACCTTCTGCTTTACAGGCCGTCGTTGTCCTCGCTCTCGTTGCCTGCGCTGCTGCCAAGCCAGGACTTCTGGGTGCTCCTCTGGCCTACACCGCTCCCCTTGCCTACAGTTCTCCCCTGGCTTATGCTGCTGTTGTCGCCGCTCCTGCTCCTGTGGTGACTGCCACGAGCAGACAGGTGATCGCCAGGAACTACAATGGAATCGCAGCTGCCCCCGTGATCGCTCCAGTGGCCACTCCTTTGGCTGCTCCCGTGATTGCAAAGTATTCCGCAGCTCCCTTGGCAGCTCCTTTGGCCTACTCGTCCCCGCTGGCTTACACATCTCCGCTGGCCTACAATGCCGCCCCAGTTCTTGTCTGAGCTTTAAAATAAAATACATTAATAAAAAAAACAAAACAAATCAAGTGTTTCTTTGTTTTTGGGCGTCCGCTAATTGGATTTACCGCTGGCAAACAAACACTTCCAATACACACAGCCTGCTGATGGGACATTTAAAAGTTTCCAAATGCCGGTCACGTAAAAGCCGTAAAAATTATTGTCAGCTCAGCGGCAGCAGCTGCTGCCCAATGTTTGTTACATTAAATTGTGCGAAATTGATTTGTATTCTACGGCTGCTTTATGGTTCAGTTTCGTATGCGGAGCTTGCAATTATGTCAAGGTCAAACGGTGACCTGTGACCAGGAGCCCTAGATTTAATCCTTGGCGATCGGCTGGGTGCTCATCTGGATGACTTACTAGCCCCTGGCACTCAGAGCAAGCGCTGGCGTTGAAGTGGGTGATGAGGCCATGCTTTGCGTCTGATTTTAATCCAGTTGGTTTTACTCAAGAAATGCCTAATTAACAGATATGTCTTATTACCACTCGTTCGACTGTTTGTCTCTGAAACTGGGCCTCTCAATGAGTTCTTCCTTACTTTTTCCTTATGCATCCTTCTTTCCGTATGTCTGTACTAGTTCCAGATTATGGGAATCATAGTGAAATTAGGAGGTATCGGCGAGCTATAATTAGTGTGTCTATGATGCAATACAAGTATTCAATCGATCGCAATACTTGATATGGTCCTCCCTTCTATTTAAATTATTATTAATTAATGATAATTAACAACAAATTTAAGCAAATTGCTGCCAAAAAGGTCAGATTTAACTCAGAATACACGTGGTATTAATGATATAGTATTAAACTAATATAAGGCGACTATACACAGGGTAAGGGGTCCAAAATAATTGTATTTTTCCCTTTTGACTTGAATGTTTATGCAACATGAATTTATATTAAAACAAGAAAGGAAGCTAACTTCGGCACGCCGAAGTTTGTATACCCTTGTAGATTGGTTTTGATTTTTATATTATAGATTATAATACTGAAAACACTCACAAAACAGAGTTTCATTACATTTTACCTATACCTATTATGTTTACAGTTTGACAGTTACAGTTTTACATTCCCAGCTTTATATATTTTATACATCTACCGATCGCTTCTATGGCAGCTATAAGATATAGCTGTCCGATTTTTATGAAATTTATACCAAAATTCTAGAACAATAAAAAAAGCTTATATCTCAGAGTAAATAAAAATGCGTTGAAAAACAACGAAGCTATAATTTTATTTCTATTAATTTCCCGATCGTTCCTATGGCAGCTATATCATATAGTCGTCCGATTTTCATAAAATTTTTACCAAAATTCTGAAATAATATAAAATGGCCATATCTTAAAAATTATGCAAAAATGTTTAAAAACAGCAAAGTTATAATTATTTTTCTAAAAATTTATCGAACATTTGTATGGCAGCTATATGATATAGTCGTCCGATCCGGCCCGTTCCGACATATATAGCAGTGAGAGTATATAGAAGACTATATGGAAAGTTTTATTCAGATAGCTTTAAAACTGAGGGACAAGTTTGCGTAGAAACAGACAGACGGACAGACAGACAGACGGACAGACGGACATGGCTAGATCGACTCGGCTGTTGATGCTGATCAAGAATATATATACCTTATAGGGTCGGAAACGTCTCCTTCACTGCGTTGCAAACCTCTGACTGAAATTTTAATACCCTGAAAGGGTATAATTAAAGTACTCAGCTTTTTGATTATAAACATAATTATTGTGAGATATGCTTACCTGTTTATTGATCAATTTGTAAGATTGTGTTTTGGTGGCCCGGCCCGGCTTGTGCTTGTGCTTAAGTAGAGGGTAAATATGTTCAATTAACTTGTCGGAACCATGTTACGTGTTGTTTCTTTTGACATGCGTATGAATTTTCAAGTTATGAAGATAAAAGGATAGTGTATGGGTAGCATAACTTGGGGGTGTTACACTAAATTAACCTTTCAAATAGAGAAAGAAATCATGTCCTTCTCTAAGAATTGTGGCTCTACTTATTGCCTTTTGTCGACCTTTAACTGAATTTTCCATACGTGATCTATTATATTTAAATCCTGACATTGGGGTGGTGAAAATAATTGCAAGGGACCATAATACAGCAGCGAATCCTTCCCGATCTGCACCGTGCGCTTGTCCTGCGTAAAGATTCAGTTCGTATCGTATAGAAATAAGAGGCTTGGTTTAAGTTTTTTGGTTTCACTAGCCTTCATGAAAATAGTTTATATTTATATACTGTGACGACGCGAATTGTCGTCACAAAGATGTTAATATTTGTAAATAGTGTAAATATTAGATTAAGCTTAGAAATATTCGTAAAATTAGAATAAGCCAAACACAGGCCAAACGGCACGAAGCCTGAATAAATCCCACGAAGGGAGAACAAAGAGCAGCGAAGAGCTTTTAAATTAACGCGCGCTATTATCGACAGTGGCAGCGCTATTATCGATAGTGGCAACGCTGCGATCGATGGCAGAGCTGCCGCCGGCAACGCCGACAGAAGTGTGTCACGGTCACACTGCCGAAATATGGCAATAACAATGGTAGAAAACTTCTGAGCTGAAAAGTCGCGCCGCTTCGACAAGTCAAAAAGTAAAAAGTGCTCAACTGCGTGTCCGCGTCGGGCAATAATCCTGACAGATCCTTCGAGGACCTCGACAACGAACTAGAGGTGAGCATGGCCACCGGCCATTAAATTAGAATCGGGATCTACCCCGCCCCCTGCCGCCAGTATTTGAAATAAAATAGTAATTAAACATGTGCCATCGACTTGTGACTTCACCCCTCTCCATCCACCCGTCTTAGTTCGCGGGCCGGTGTCCTTCGCCGGCAGTAACCAATTCCCTCCTGCTTTCTTCGTAGCACCGGAGAAATTCCGGGTGCGGACGAATGCCGGACGGGAACAGGAGCCCGTGGCTGCTGGATTATTCCGAGCCCGGACTTGCTGCGCGAGGTCGCCGGTTCCCCTCCCTTGCCCGTCAGAGAGCCATCCCGCCACTGGAGTATTCCGGGCGCGGATCTGGGGTTGGTCGCTGGATCCTTCCGAGCCAACTGTCCCGCCGCTGTATTTTTTCGGGCGCAGACGCAGACATCGGCTGCTGGATTCTTCCGAGCCTTTGTCCTGCCCCAACGGACTCCGCGCTGCTGAATTCTTTCGGGCGTGGGCGTGGCTGCTGGAGTATTCCGAGCCCTCTGATTCATCCCGCCGCTGGAGGATTCGGGGCTGGCCGCTGGATTTTTCTGAGCCAGTGGTCCCGCTGCTGGATTATTTCGAGCGTGGACACAGGCACTGACTGCTGGAGAATTCTGCGCCCTTGTCCTGCCCCGAAGGCGCCCCGCTGCTGGAGAATTCCGGGCGCGGACGTGGGCTTGGCCGCTGGATCGGCAAAAAATAAGAAAAAATACCACGGGTACCAAGAGGACCCTGCGTGATCCTGGTGGCAAATTCAAATACAAAGCGGGTCCTGCGCGACCTTAAAAACTCAACCCGTATACACATGTAGAAATAGGATAAATAACAAATAAAATTAAATAATAAAATAAAATAAATCAATTAAATAATAAAATAAAATAAAAACACAAGGCCAATTTAATTATTGCAGAATAAAATAAATAATTAAATTCCGGTTTTTTTTTTTTACAGCAATCACGCCTCCGCTATTTAAATAGCCGCCGTATTCCTGACCATTGTTTGCAACGATGGGCGTCAAATGGATCAGCTACCGCAAAAAGCACGAGCTGGAAGCCATCCTCGGCGAGTTCGGTCTCGAACAGTCCGGCACTGTGGATGAGCAGCACGACCGTTTGATTTTTTTCGCCCGGGATCCCGAGAACTCCGAGGCAAACCTGGTCCGCCTTAGCGAGCTGGAGCGAATGTTTGGGAACGCACCCACTGGGGATATAGATGCTCTCGCCGACTCCGTTCGACTCGATCCTGCTTCCACCAACGCCGACCGGGCTACAGGAAGCCAGCTGGGCCGAGGTCGGACACGAGTTCCTGGATTTTTTCCGGCCACCGCGCTATTATCAGCGACTGGAGGACAAAATCCGGACTTACCTGCAGCGGCCCAACGAGCCGTTCAAGGGGGTCTACGACAACATGCTCCCGGAATACAAGTTATTAACCGGGAGACAAGATTTCCGCACCCTGGCAGAGCTGACCCACCTGGTAGTGGACTACGAGGTGACGCGCAGCCGGTATGGAGGCCAAGACCATCGCTCTCCGAGCCCTCGACAGGAACCCAGGTCCAACTATGCGACGGAGGCCGACCGGATGCCACGCCGTGCCCCGCCAGCAGCCCGATCGGGCCACTCAACCAACGGATCCACCAGCCGGAACGCGTGCACGAGCCACAGCGCAGCCTCTCTCGAGCCAGTCAACATCCGCGACGCCTGCCGCAACAGCGGACTACTGGGACACTTCTCGGTGGAGTGCCAGAATCCACGCGTCATCTTCTGCCGGGATTGCGGACGCCGAGGAACCCGGACTATCGAATGCTGTCGGCGCTCAGCATCGTGAAACGGGAACGGGCCTCGAGTGACCCGGAATCACCGGGGGAACCCGTCCAACCCACGCAGCCAGTAGGAGGAACCCTCTACCAACACCAGGGACGCATCCGCGCCGCCATCACCATGGAGGAGCGAGGATTCGTGGCCACCCTGGACACCGGAGCTACGTACAGCTTCATTAGCGAGGACCTAGCCCGAGAGCTAGGCAACGCAAACAACATGCGGGATATCAGGACTCAACTCAAGTTGGCCGACGGGACATGCCGAGAACTCACTCGGGCCCTCGCCACAAACATCTACCTCGGGAACAAACGCGCCCCAACCATCCTGCTAGTCATGACCGGAGTCCTCGACGGCATTCTCCTAGGCATGGATTTTCTTTGCAGGATTGGAGCCACGATCCAGTGCGGGGGACAGACCCTCAGCTTGCTACCCGACGACTACACGGAGCCGCCTTGGGTTCAAGCACAAAGCAACGCAAGACGCCGGAAGAAAGAGACACGCTCTGTCCACTTCGAGGAGCCACACTCCACCCCTCACGAAGGACCATCGACGAGCCGCCATTCCGCCTCGACGACCGACGAGGGCTCGGCCGCCGAGATGCCATCAGTAGCAGCACCGAGCCGCCCTCCGCTGCCGAACGATCCCCGACGGACCAGGAGCCGACCACCGACGCCGATACCGGAACTACGAGGCCGCCGGCGAAGCACACCCTGGGCGGACAGCCCCTCCGGATCCTCGTCTGAGGAAGAACGGCCCAGCGACCGCCAAGCCCATGTCCACTGGGTGCCCGCTCCCGACGGGTGGAGCACGGCCAACGGCACGCTGCCTGCCCCGCTCATTCGACGGATCCAGCAGCGGCTCCAAGGACCCAGGCGGCGAACCCTGCGGTACCTGGAAGAGGAGAAGGGCCAGCGCTTCCGAGTGCAGCTCAACCGCGACGACCACGTCCGGGTGTTCTTACACTCCACCCGGAACTAAGGAGGGAGTGTGACGACGCGAATTGTCGTCACAAAGATGTAAATATTAGATTAAGCTTAGAATTATTCGTAAAATTAGAATAAACCAAACACACGCACACCCACATACACTCAGACGCTCCTTACAATACCATTAAAATAAAACCAAATCAAAAGAAATGCAGAGATATATATTGTTTTCTTCTTTTATTTTTGAATTTTATTACTGAACTTAATTTTCTAATTCTATATTGCTGAATTACAAACTGAAAAGATACACATGTTTCTTTGGTTAATAATACAAATGGTAGGGATTAAATTTCACTATAGATCCAGACTTATTTAAAGTGCGAATGCTGAACGTAAAAAAATTAATATAAGTCTGACAACTTTAAAAATAAATTGTTTCGAATTTGCTGAATTATTAACACACCAATATATTATTTATAAAAGGCATAAAAATAAAAAAAAACAGTTTGCACAGGCTTCAAATAAAACAATCATTACAGAAAGTATACATGACGGTTGTGTACACGAAAATAAAAAATTATGAAGCAGAAAAAAATAATGCACACTTTTAAAAAAAATATATATATTGCTAAATTTTATCTTCTGTAAGAGAAATATTAAATAATCATTTCACCCATGTTAGATGATTATTCAATATTTATTTTAGAGAACATAAAATTTAGCGAAAAGAAAATTTTAGCAATAAAAAATATACAACTGATAAAAAAGGAGAGTAAAATATTTATATTTTCAATTGAATACTATGTATATTTGTTTTTTGTTTTCTTTCCTTCTACAGATGGGAAAATGGAAAATTAAAATTATAAATAGGTGATTAAATGCTAATGTTAATATTTTTGTGGTGTATGGAACAGAAATTGTAAATTAAAAATTCGAAAGAAGATATACAAATTAGTTCTACTTCAAATTTTTTACATTTTGTTAATGTTCTTCGAATTAAAAAAATAACATACATATATTGTAATAACTTATCATTTTAATTTCAAAAAAATGTAAATGGTTAGTTATAACAATATATGTATGTATATATATTTAATTTCTAATAACGCCAACTACTGCTACTCCTACAAAGAATGAAATTACAAACGGAATAGGAATAGCAGATGACATTTCTACATGGAACTAATTAGGATGTTATTGATGATGATCAAGAATATATATACTTTATAGGATCGGAAAGGTCTCCTCACAGCGTTGCAAACTTCTGACTGAAATTTTAATACCCTGCAAGGGTATAAAAAGTAGCAATTTAATTAAAAACTCGAAATTTAGTTAAAGACAAAAACAAGAAATATAAAAGTATAATACTATAAATTCAATAATAAAATTTTATTGTTGAATTCTGTTCATCAGGGCAATCAAAGTCCAAATCATCTAAAAGTGGATAAAATCGTGGCATTAAAAATAAGCTCCTAAATTAAAAATTCCTAAACCGAAAAAGTAAAACCCATTTCCAAAATAAAACTTGTTACTTTTATCTTTTTGATCACAGTTTTATTATTTAGACGAGAAGGGGGGAAGGAACAGCGGCATAACTAAGAGGAGCGCTGTACGCCAGAGGGGAAGCGTAGGCCAGGGGAGCGGCAAGAGGGGCAGCGGCGTACTTCGCAATCACGGGAGCAGCCAAAGGAGTGGCCACGGGAGCGATCACTGGAGCAGCAGCGATTCCATTGTAGTTCCTGGCGATCACCTGGCTGCTCGTGGCAGTCACCACAGGAGCAGGCGCGGCGACAACAGCAGCGGGGGCAGCATAAGCCAGGGGAGAACTGTAGGCCAGAGGAGCACCCAGAAGTCCTGGCTTGGCAGCAGCGCAGGCAACGAGAGCGAGGACAACGACGGCCTGTAAAGCAGAAGGTGTGATTAATTAAACTCCCTAAGGCTCCTTTCCTGGAGATCTTACGGATTTGAACATGTTGGCGTGTTGATTTGTTTGGCTTCTTTGGAAGGCTGGTAACTGTTTGATGTTCCACTGCCCCGGCTCGAGCCTATTTATACCCAAAATCCGTCTTCAGCTGTGACGCATTCAGTTCATTGAAATGCTCGATCGGTATCCCGTTACCATTTGCACTTTACAATTATTTATGTGAATTCCCACTGCTGAATGTCGAGTAACTGACAATGGCCACTGAATTTGTTACCCTGAGGTCACAGTATCTGCGTTGATGGTGTATAAATAGCTCCATGGAAGGTGCTAAACTACATCAGACAAGTTCAAGTCTCCGAACTACCAGCAGCTAATCCTACAAGCAAAATGTTCAAATCCGTGAGTTTCGACTCTGAAGAGTCTGGATAAATTGATTTAACGCATTTTCACCCGCAGGCTGTTGTCATCCTGGCCATCATTGCCTGCGCCGCTGCTAAGCCTGGACTTCTTGGAGCTCCTCTGGCATACACCGCCCCGTTGGCCTACGCTGCTCCCGCAGCTGTAGTGGCCGCTCCTGCTACTGTGGTGACTGCCACGAGCAGCCAGGTGATCGCCAGGAACTACAATGGAATCGCTGCTGCTCCAGTGATCGCTCCCGTGGCAACTCCTCTGGCTGCTCCCGTGATTGCGAAGTATGCCGCTGCCCCTCTTGCCGCTCCCCTGGCTTACTCTTCCCCTCTGGCGTACAACGCTCCTCTTAGTTATGCCGCTGTTCCTTCCCCCCTTCTCGTCTAAATAATAAAACTGTGATCAAAAAGATAAATAAATGAATGTCTCCATTAGGAATGTACGTTCGGGAGTTATTTTTGTTTAGTTTCATAAGTTTTTAGCAAAGTAACAAAGCGAGGTAACCACATAATTTTACAGTACAAGGAATGGCATAAACAAATAAATTTTCTCTAGTTGCAAGTCAAAAGAGTATGGCCAAAGGCAAAGGCAAAGTTTAAACTTTCATTCCGCAGGCGAAGCTGTGGGCGAATTTTGAAACGCGAAAACGGTATACCGCCTATATAAAGCCAGATCTGAAAATGTTTATATTTCGCTATGGAATTCATTTTCGAAAAAAGCTTCATTCATACAGATATACTACATTCGAACTTCAATTTTCATGAAAACCTTTTTTCTTAATTAATACAATTTAGAAAATATTCCGGTTCAATGGCTTGGTGTGGCGGTCTAATATTTATGTATTTTCTGAATCAAGGACAACGAACCAAATCAGATAAAAAACTGATAAAACCTCATCACATATGTATATGCTTCGCTCGATTCTTTATGTTTCAAATAATAAAGTAAATAAAGTTAAACTTTGGGTGATTATCGGATCATACTTGTCTTGCTTGGAAAAAGTAGGATAATTTGTTAATCTTTAGCAAAACTTGGCAATTACGCGATATCTAATTACTTCAACAACACGAGCAGTGCACAATTTTTTTTACAAGAATATCATACCTGGCAAACATTTTTTACATTTTAATATTTTTTTAAGCTACCAAATTGTTTCCTCATTATCAGAAAAGTTTAAGTAAATATATAGTAATTTCAATAAAGTAAAGAATCGAATGATTTGATAGTTTTGATATTTTTAAGGTATTCAGAAATCATACAAATTAATTTTTGTTAAAAGCAAGAAAGGAAGCTAACTTCGGTACTTCGAAGTTTGTATACCCTTGCAGATATTATTTCATTACATTTTACCTATATTATTATGTTTACAGTTTGACAGTTACAGTTTTGCATTCCCAGCTTTACATTTTCTCTACATCTACCGATAGGTTTATATGGCAGCTATATGATATAGTTGTCCGATTTTTATGAAATATATAATAATTTATACCAAAATTCTAGAATAATAAAACAAGCTTATCCCGGAGTAGATGAAAAAACGTTGAAAAACAACGAAGTTATAGTTTTTTTCCTATTAAAATCCCGATCGTTCCTATGGCAGCAATATGATATAGTCGTCCGATTTTCAAAAAATTTTTACCAAAATTCTGAAATAATATTATATGGCCATATCTCAAAAATTATGCAAAAGTGTTGAAAAACAGCTAATTTATATTTTTTTTCTAAAAATTTATCCAACATTTGTATGGCAGCTATATGATATAGTCGTCCGATCCGCCCCGTTCCGACATATATAGCAGTGAGAGTATATGCTAGACTATATGCAAAGTTTCATTCAGATTGCTTTAAAACTGAGGGACTAGACAGACGGACGGACGGACATGGCTAGATCGACTCACTGTTGATGCTGATCAAGAATATATATACTTTATAGGGTCGGAAACGTCTTGTTCACTGCGTTGCAAACTTCTGACTGAAATTATAATACCCTGCAAGGGTTTAAAAAGAGATTTTTTTCTTATAGTGCAGCAGCAGTTCGTAGGGTTCGTTGGCCAAGACCCTGCCAAAGCTACCTCTTCATAGGTAACAACATTAAAAAGAGACATCTTTGAAAGGGGTAGCAGGGCGGGCTTAACCCCCCACCCTGTGGACTTCGATCTAAAAGACCACTTCCAAAGGCTGATATCAGAAAGCCGAGGACCTTTTCCTTCCACCACTAAGGCAATGCCATCTGCACATATCGGAACAATTGCCTAGGACAAAGATATTTCAAAATCCTGGTAGATATTAATCCCTTTAACCAGATTTATTCTCACTTTGGGAGGTCGTTTAACCATCACCGTTCGACTCAAAAACTACCGCAGTCTGATTCAGCAAGTTTGAAAACCTGGAAATACTCTTATATTTGTTGTATTTTTATGTATGTATGTATATATAATGATTTTCTTAAAAAGCAATTCTTAAGCAAAATAAAAACAGATTTGGAGTTACAAAAAACAGTTATTAACATTTTAACTTAGAACCGAGCATGGTTTGCCCAAAACTTCGCCTGCGCACATTGGGCCAGCGAGCCGATATATACACGAAAATTCAAATTTTTCATAGAAAGTAGACCTATTTTAATAATAAAATTGGAATAGTATGTATATACTTTGGCTAAAATGTATCAAACGATTTTAATTGTTTTGATGCATCCCGGAAATTTTGGCAGCCCTTCAAAGTCAGCTCTTAGATTGCGTGCGTGCGAAACTCAAAAGCGCGAGAAAGATTTTGTTTACTTGCGAGCGTGACAAAATTGTTGTGGCTTAAGCAATGTTTACTAAAATCATGGAAAAGAAAGGCAAAGGTATGTAGAATATTTGTATTAAAATAGACTTTGTTCATGTTTGATAACGTGCTCTTTGTGTGCGTTTATTTGTGTTGTCCAAAAGTAGAAAAAAGCTGACCTGTTAACCGGTCTGTTGTGGATTATAAAAAATTTTGTGCCAACTTGTGCCAAAATATATTTATATATCATTAAAGTGCAAAGTATATATAAACTAAATTTATTAAGCTTTTTTGCTCCATTTTGCCCCAATATATATAAATCCGTCATATTGTAGCTGTGGTTCAGTTCGCCTATGAGCAACTGCTTGATGTCTGTATAGAAAACAATCGGAAAGCATCCGCAGTTGCGGTATGAAAGTTTAAACTTTGCTTTAAGATATAGCTGACTTATACGGTAAGGCAATGTCTGGCCATACTCTTCTGATTTGCAAATAGAGAATATTTATTCGTTTACACTGTTCTGTGTACTGTAACATCATGTGGTTCCTTCCTATGAAACTAAAAAATAAGCGAAACAAGAAAGGAAGCTAACTTCGGCACGACGAAGTTTGTATACCCTTGCAGATTGGTTTTCATATTTATATTATAAATTATAATGCCGAAAACAGACACTAAACAGAGTTTCATAACATTTTACCTATACTTATTATGTTTACAGTTTGACAGTTACAGTTATACATTCACAGCTTTACATTTTCTCTACATCTACGGATCGCTTCTATGGCAGCTATATGATATAGTTGTCCGATTTTCATTAAATTTATACAAAAATTCTATAATAATAAGTAAAGCTCATATCTCAGAGTAGATGAAAATAAGTTGAAAAACAACGAAGTTATAATTTTTTCTATTACTTTCCCTATCGTTCCTATGGCAGCTATAAGATATAGTCGTCCGATTTTCATAAAATTTATACCAAAATTCTGAAATAATACCAGAAGCTCATGTTTTAAATTAGATTAAAATACGTTGAAAAACAACGAAGTTATAATTTTTTCCATTAATTTACCGATCGTACCTATGGCAGCTATAAGATATAGTGGTCAGATTTTCATAAAATTTTTACCAAAATTCCGGAATAATATAAAATGGCTATATCTCAAAAATGATGGAATAATATTGAAAAACAGCCAAGTTATAATTTTTTTTCCAAAAATTTGTCGAACATTTGTATGGCAGCTATATGATATAGTCGTCCGATCCGGCCCGTTCCGACATATATAGCAGTGAGAGTATATAGAAGACTATATGCAAAGTTTCATTCAGATAGCTTTAAAACTGAGGGACTAGTTTGCGTAGAAACGGACAGACGGACAGACGGACATGGCTAGATCGACTCGGCTGTTGATGCTGATCAAGAATATATATACTTTATAGGGTCGGAAAGGTCTCCTTCACTGCGTTGCAAACTTCTGACTGAAATTATAATACCCTGCAAGGGTATAAAAATAGCTCCCGAAAGTACATTCCTAATAGAGACATTCATTTATTTATCTTATTGATCACAGTTTAATTATTTAGACGAGAAGGGGGGAAGGAACAGCGGCATAACTAAGAGGAGCGCTGTACGCCAGAGGGGAAGCGTATGCCAGGGGAGCGGCAAGAGGGGCAGCGGCATACTTCGCAATCACGGGAGCAGCCAGAGGAGTTGCCACGGGAGCGATCACGGGAGCAGCAGCGATTCCATTGTAGTTCCTGGCGATCACCTGGCTGCTCGTGGCAGTCACCACAGGAGCAGGAGCGGCCACTACAGCTCCGGGAGAAGCGTAGGCCAAAGGAGCAGTGTATGCCAGAGGAGCTCCAAGAAGTCCAGGCTTAGCAGCGGCGCAGGCAATGATGGCCAGGATGACAACAGCCTGCGGGTGAAAATGCGTTAAATCAATTTATCCAGACTCTTCAGAGTCGAAACTCACGGATTTGAACATTTTGCTTGTAGGATTAGCTGCTGGTAGTTCGGAGACTTGAACTTGTCTGATGTAGTTTAGCACCTTCCATGGAGCTATTTATACACCATCAACGCAGATACTGTGACCTCAGGGTAACAAATTCAGTGGCCATTGTCAGTTACTCGACATTCAGCAGTGGGAATTCACATAAATAATTGTAAAGTGCAAATGGTAACGGGATACCGATCGAGCATTTCAATGAACTGAATGCGTCACAGCTGAAGATGGATTTTGGGTATAAATAGGCTCGAGCCGGGGCAGTGGAACATCAAACAGTTACCAGCCTTCCAAAGAAGCCAAGCAAATAATCACGCCAACATGTTCAAATCCGTAAGATCTCTAGGAAAGGAGCCTTAGGGAGTTTAATTAATCACACCTTCTGCTGTACAGGCCGTCGTTGTCCTCGCTCTCGTTGCCTGCGCTGCTGCCAAGCCAGGACTTCTGGGTGCTCCTCTGGCCTACACCGCTCCCCTTGCCTACAGTTCTCCCCTGGCTTATGCTGCCCCCGCTGCTGTTGTCGCCGCTCCTGCTCCGGTGGTGACTGCCACGAGCAGCCAGGTGATCGCCAGGAACTACAATGGAATCGCAGCTGCCCCCGTGATCGCTCCCGTGGCCACTCCTTTGGCTGCTCCTGTGATTGCCAAGTACGCCGCGGCTCCGTTCGCAGCACCCATTGCCACTCCTTTGGCCTTCTCTTCGCCTCTGGTTCTGTAAAGCTTTAAAGCCACATCATGCGTTTAAATAAAACTCACTACGACTGATTACCAACTGAACTGACAAAGCTCTTCTCCTTTAACACTGTAAGTACACTAAGAGAAATTCTTTTCAATTCTCTAATTCAAAGTACATACATACTTTAAACACGTGTCACTTGAAAAAATATTGTAGGCTTCCAAAAATGACTCTTAACTTTTACTATTACTCATACATCGAAGACCATGCGGCAACTGTGTTTCTCGCAGTGCAACAATCCAATTTTGCTCCTTGGGCCGTGGTTATTTGTTAGTTTTGCGTTTCCGCTTATCTAAAACGCTTTCATGGCGCATTTCATGCATTGATGCACAATTTAAATGGCCATTTTTGCGTTCGCGCGTTTAGATAGCTTCTCGGCAGCTGCCAGAAGCCAAAGGAAGAACCGAAAAAATCCCCGGCATATGTTATCGCCTGCCACAGGGTTGGAAAGCCTCATATTCTCAAGGATTTGCGCGTTGGCGCTTTACTTTCCTTTCCTTTTTATTTTTGTGTTGCCAAAGGCTGGCCTTTAATTTGATTAGTTACAAATTGCGATAACAAAAACCGAGAGTTCCAGGAGGTGGCAAATGCGTTGCATAATTAAGTTACCTGCCAGGTGGACGTCACGCCCCGAACGAAAAATCTGCAACTGCATCTGACAAAAGGAAAAACTGAAGCGAAATGTAAAATGTATAAAAGTGGGAACGCGACTTTTGGGTTTGCCCGTCTAAATAATTAAAAGTTCGCCCTTGCCCAGCGTCCGCGCCCTTTATTTTTTGTCGGTTACGTTTTTGTTTGCCATTTTGTAATTGCTGTTAATGGCAAAAACAAGCAAAACAGTGCACAGCCTCGACTGTGGAAATTCGGGAGCGCCAGGACGAAAATTCTCCCGACTCTACACGAGTTTTGCATTAAAAAAGCCCGCGCATGTCGGGGCAGGATGTAAAAAATGTGTCTTGAGGCTGGAAACAAATATTCAGATACCCTTTATTAAATGCACTGCTATGGGAGCTTTTTCCAAAGGAGAAATAACCTTTGTGCCTGATTCTATATGATATAATATTAATTTAGATCCATTTTGAACTTATTTTCCAGGCAGAATCTGGCTTAATATTTTGTTTAAGTTATTTTTAATAGCAGAACTACTAGTTATAGAAATGTACTAATAAGTTAACATATATTAACGCTTTTGGTTATTGTTTTTATAGCAATATATGTATAACATTAAAAGCTGTATAATTCAATATTTTCGTAAATTAGTGATAATTCAGAACAGACCAAATGCACCACAAATATCAAATATAATTATTTACATACAAATAATGCTAATTTTTATTTTCAATCATTTACCATTTAAATAAAGAACTTTAAAAACGCAACTTAAGTTTCGACTATAGCGACTTACATAGCTAAAGAACAAATATACACATAAAACTTACTTTTTTAATGAGTTTTGATAGATTTAAAAATAAATTAAATATTTTTAATTTGTTCTTTATTTATTAGCTCAACAAAGAAGTACTTATTAAATCAAGTATACTTGATTTATAATTATTATAATTTATTATTAAATCAAGTATACTTGATTTAATAATAAATTATAATAATTATAAATCCACAGGAAAGAGCATATAAAATGTCAAAGACAGCCCGAAAATGCAGTTAGTACTGCTCTCTAGGTCCAGATTCGGAAAATTCAAAAAGAAAGAGGGCCTAGTTACAAAACTTTATGACTTGTTTATGCTCCTTCCAGTCCCTTCTGCCGTTTGTTTGAAGGTAGATGTTTTCCGCTGGCTGTTAATTTTGTTTGCCGACAAGGCGCAAAATGGCTGAATAATGGCCCGGCGACATTTCGCTTAATGTTTGACTTGGCTGCAACACGAAATCTGATGCAGGATGCTCCGAAACACGACTACACGAGCCATGGCATGTTTGCTAAGATTATTTTCTTGTTTTCCATTTAATTTGATTATGAGAAAGGATTACGCGGGTTAACAATGTGCAGGCAGAGTTCTGGGTTTATTCTTTATCGTTGGGTTTATTATTTAATACATTTTTCATAATTAAGTAGTAACAAGTATTTGAGAAACTATAAAAAACATATTTAAATCATAAAAGTCATAAAGGTATTTTACGCACAATTCAGTAAACATTTTTTTGTATTAATTTTCTGTGAGTAAATTGGTTTTTAGTACAACAAAACTCTCGTTTTTAATAACACAAGTTAAAAAATGATTTTCAATGCTTTCCGAGTTACCTTTTTGTGAATACAAATATTTCGGAAGAATGCGATTAAATAAACTAAATATTGATGGTAATTATACATAATTTAATGGGGCTTCCGTTGAAATCCAATCTGTTCAGCCCACCCTCGATTTGCTCCCTACTAAAATCTTGGATGCTCTCCGGCGCCCTGGCTAATGATCCCGGACCCAGGCCTATCCTTGGCCAAATGCTGCCAGAAGCCAAGGAACAATGGGGAGGGGTATCCCTCCAAAACCTGCCTCCGCCTATCTATACGGCTAATTAGGCTAAACAAATTATGGAATATGATTAATAGAGAGCACGGGCTGGCAATTAACTTTTTGCGATAAATACGGCGGAAAATAAAATATATGTATATGTTTGAATTAATGTGGACCGGAATTGCAGGCAAATTTATTGACCCCACCCGCCCCCGGGCAGTCTCAAAGGAAGGATTTGTCCTGCGATTTAACAATTCACGTAGTGACATTTGCATTTTTGATTGCCCCAATATTTCTTGCATTGCTTTTGGCCATCGTTTGTTTATGGCTGTGGTCCCCCCTCCTTAGACATTGCTCGCAAAAAGGTGTAGGCGCTGGAAACGTGTCGCGTAAATTAAAAAGGTTTGGGTTTTTGCGGCTTAAAAAATGTTAGCCCAAAGGTCAGCGTGGCTTTAAAATTTTCCCAGCAAAGTTTTATGCAAATCATTTTTTGTATACTTTTTTGTTTGGTCGTGACATTATGTCGGTTCGGTGGTCTTTTGCTTTTTCTGTAGTCAATGTCATTTACTAAATTGTTGTTGTTTTTTGTAGGGTAGCCAGGGGAGAATTTCAATCAAAAGGGCTCTCTTTTTTCATCACGGATTAAAGACAAAGTAGATGTGTTGTATTTCCTGGCAATTGTTTATGGAAACTCCTGCTCCTCCTCCGCTCGAATTTGGGAAATGAAGGAATATCTTTGCTGGTTTTTGGGTGGGGGTGTTCGTGATCAAGTAGCGGCAAACATAAAAATAAAATAAAGAAAAAGACGAATCCCCCCAGCCGCGGTGAGAGCTCCCACACTCACACACGCACACTCCTTCGAAGGATTCAGGAATTCAGGACTCGAGGAGTGACGTGTTTGGCGCTGCAGCAGCACTTAACCTTGGCTGTACACCGAGGACACGGCACTCGAGTTATGAATTAAATCCTGCCACGAGTCCTGTCGGCAGAGATAGCTAGCTCACACACGGCCACTCGTATCTCCGCGGAGACTTTAACCCAAAATCCTGCCACGACGAAGTTGGATGGGAGAGAGCGCTTTCTACTACGACTTCCATTCAGCAGTTTCTCTTCCAGAGAGAATTTTCTGACCTAAAGAGAGTTTGGCTTACTGAGGGATTCCTAAAGAGAACTCGAACAAAATCGGCCGGGAAAATGTTTGTGGGGTATTCTTAAAGGGCGGTCGACAAGTTGCTGATTTAACTGAATAATACAATCTTTTTACGAATTTTTAAGTATTTTTAATAACATTTTTTTTAAGAGTTCAAGGTTGGTATTCTATAAGATTACTTTTAATTCGAAAAGTTTTAAAGCAGGAGATTGCTTATCTAATATTTAAAAAACAAACATAATAAGGGAAGCCTGATCGGCATAAATAATAAATATAATAATATTATTAATTTATTTCTTTACAATCAAACAGCTGAATACTTTAATTGTATACTTTCGGCATCTCTGTTTATAAAAATATATGAATTTATATCAGATAAACAGGAGCTATTATGTTTTCAAGAATTTAAGAATTCATCTATTCTATACTATAAACATGGTAGCCACCTAATAAGTATGGTTACTTTGCTAAGCCAAGGACCTTGAAATCGGATTCAGTGTCTTGAACCATTTCTTATATAGTTCTAATAGTTATAATATATGGGCATTTCCATGGTGTCGCACGCGACATTCGTACGCATTCAAAGCAAAAAAAAGTATGGTACATTTTATTTTTATTTCTTTTAAAAATATTAACTTATAGCTCTTGCCTAGGGCTATAATTGGTGTTAGTGTTGATTTTGAGTGTATGCTCAAAATTAAGAAATTTAAAAAAAAAAGGGTTCGCACGCGACAAAAACAGAAGTCACTTTACGCGGCGAGCTGTTTAAACACAGATTTTAGGGAAACGGCTGGGAATATTTTAATGAAACAAATTTTAAAATGTTATGCGACAATGTCATTTTCATATGCTTTTATTTACAATCAGAAATTAAGCGTAGTTTATTTTTTATTTAATTTTAATAAGGTGTCGCACGCGACAGTTTTTATCATAATACTTTGCATGTAATTTTTTACTATTTAAGTAAATTAGAAGGGCATATATCCTTTTTATTTCGACTTTTTGCATTCTTCTTGTGATGTTAGTAAACAACAGTCAAAGCATAATGCCTCGGTTTGGATGTAATTACCAAAAGAAAACAGGCCCATTTTTATGATGTTTTTCATCAAAATAATGAAAAATCGTGTTTGCGCGAATATGCATTCGAATATTTCGAAATTTGTTTTAGAATATGATAAAACCCTTCAAATTTAATCAATTGACCTTTTCCTAATGTTACTATGTTGGAAAAAAAACATTTTAGAGAAGTTTTAGTTTTTTGGCCGCGGTTGACATTTCTGTGGAAATGCCCATATTATAATTTTAGTCAGTACTATGCAACGCAGTAAAGGATTAATTTCCGCCCCCATAAAGAGTGTTTATTTTTGATTAGCATCAACAGCCGAGTCGATCTAGACGTGTCCGCCTGTCCGTTAGTCCGTTTCTATGCGAACTTGGCTTTCAGTTTTTAAGCTATCTGAATAAAAATGTTGTTTTCTTCATTCTTTATTCATAGGCATATATATCGACATATGTATAGCCGTCATAGGAACGATCGGAAAATGTTTAGAAAAAAAAGAGATAACTTTTAAAGTTGTCATTTTCATTTAGTCAAAGCTATCTTTAATTTGTTAACTTTATGAAAATCGGACTACTTGATATTGCTGGCATACGAACGATCGAAAAGTACCTACACAGTTAGAATTATAACAATTATACATTGCAATAGGGAAATTTTTATTATTTTAGAATTTCGGTTTTACTGATAACTCAGTACATGACAATAAATATCTATGAGTAACTTTAATGAAACTTATGATAAAATCGTTGTGTTTCAAAATATATACATATGTATTTAAACATATTTATATTTCGATGCTTAAACGCTGAGATATATTAGTAATTTTATACAATTAAAAAAAAAAAAGTATGAATGTACTAACTTATTTCACAAATTAATAATTATAAATACATTATAACAATTTCATTCGTTTCTCGTTTCTCGATCACCTGCACAAATGGAGAACTTTCTTAATCTGAATTCTCTTCAATAAGTGGAATATGTGGATGTACTGATCTATAAATGAATGCCGGAATGAAAACTGCAGGAAGACCAACGAAACGAACGCCTGCTTTCGGGGATAGTTTTCCGCAGAGTCTGTGTCACAACAGGCAACTGCCGAATGCCAGCAGCCCTGGCCGGCGGGCAAAAAGTAATGCATACTTTTAAATGCTGATTGTGTCGCATACAAAAAGATGAAAAATGTGAAACTTTTGGGGCAGCTCACTCCCACAAACACACACGCACCGAAAGCCAGTCCACATGGCTCCTGAGTTGGCCACTCTTTCTTTTACCGTTTGTCTTCAGGTAGCACACACTCAGCAACCCAAACCCACCTCACCTAAGCCAGCCGAGTAAAATCCAGAAACAGTCAGGTTGTTAAAACTTTTAAATTGAGGGCGGGGATCATTTGTGATTTCTGCCGTCTGGGCGGTGGAAATAAAAAGCTAGAAACCTGCAAAGTTGCAGTCACGACACAAGCGCTCTGTCACTGCTCATTTGTTGCTAATAATTATAAAAGTTTTCCCAGTCCCCCCGAGTGACAAGTACCGCAAAAAATATATAGAAAAACACTTGCCAGACTGGCTGTCTGTTCGTCTGACGGAGAAACGGTACAAAAGTTTCGACAGCGTTTCACCAGCAATTGTTTAGCTTGGGAGATCGGTTTGAAAATGTTTGTAAGTCCATTTGGGCGTTAGCATTTAGCTCGGATTTCGCTGGGAATAGTTTGCAGTTGGACCCGGCCTAAAAGCATGCCGTATTAAATTTTTATTTGCCTACTTCATAACAATAGTGAATTGGCATCGCATCGGGAAGGATAAAATAGTAAGGGGTGTGCATCCCCCCTCGCCAAGTCATTTAGTTCGGCGACTTGGAGCGCAGCCAGGATGCTGGGATGGCAAACAAGTCGAACAAAGCGAGCGCCAAATTGCCTTAAAAGCCTTTTCAAGTCTAAAGTTTTGCCTGTTTGCGCATAATTATTTAGCCATGACATAAACAAAAAGAGCACCCAAACCAATAAAGTATTTACTCTTATGATGGGCATAATATTTCACGAAAAAAGGACCTTAAGAGATTATCCTGGAAGCGTCGTTTTAGGAAGGAATTCGGAGTCAAATATAGCAGAGCAAACTACCATATTTAGTTACTTATTTGTATAATTTACTTTAAATTATAACAAATATTTTAAGATCTGAAATTGATTGAAATAAATTCCGTAAATATGAATATGGCTTATTAAGTTTGTTCATTATTCTCAAATCTAAAAAAGAAAGAAGACAATGTTCACAAATAAAAACAAATGTTGCTAGCAGCATAAGAAACCTTCTCTGAACATTTACTTTGTCGTAAAAAACCTCGCAGGCTTTTTACAGATTAATTATATATTCATTATTTATATTAATTATTTTTGTTTTTATTTATTTTCGCTTTAATGACTGAGGCCAGATGGGCGAGGATTCTCGTCTTTCTTGAGAGGTAGCAGATGGCCTTCGTCGTCTCCGAACATCAACCGCTCGACCAACTCCAACTGGGTTTGCAGAATGGCCATCACAGTCATCGATTTCTCAATTCGCTCCCTATATCTAAGTTGCATTAGACTGTCGTCTTTATTTCTAGGGGCTTCTTCGTGTTTCTTTCCAACTTTCTGTTTATGTTCACGCTGTTTTAATTCACGCTGAATATTCTCGGCAACAGTGTGGTCCCTTGGCAAATATTTCCGTTTCAACCCGAAAATTTTATGGAAAAAGTTAATTACGTACGCGTACTCTACGCGAAGGAACTGGAAGTATGTCAAATGACTCTTTTGCTTCTTGTCTCTTAGCGCCTTGACTAGTGCCATCTGATTCTCCAGCATGGATACAATTACGTTGATGAGCAACATCTTCACCACAACGGCCAGAATACCGTAAAATACAATTCCAATCCACTTTCCCCCGTAGAAGAGATCCCTTGGCGCGACATGGCTGCTAAAGCCAAAGGCGAAGCAGGTGAGGGAAATGATTCCCTTCATTATAGTGCTAAACTGAATGGCGTTATTGCCATTCATGGTGATCGCTGCAATGCCAATGCCAAATAGAAAAACCATTGTCACCATGATCGTCCATGAAAGCGCATACCGGGCCAGATATAGAGTAGTCGTGAAGAGGCGGAAGGTGCTGGAAAACTGCATTGCCTTCCAGAGACGCATCGTGACTAGCGCCATAGAAAAGCCTTCTAGTATATTGCACAGGTAGGTCACCGTTGCCGGCTCGGTGAAGTTGATAAACTCGACCATCACAGAAATTTCCACTCGTCTGATCATTGCTTGGACCAAGTTATCCCGATATCCACGGATCACCACCGACACCGTACAGAGTATCAGGATCAAGGCATCTACTAGCATCCACGGATCCTTCAGCTGTTTGGGCTCGTACCACACCTTGACCCAAAAGGCCTTGGCAAATAGCAACCAGGCAATGACGAAAACGTACAGAGCCGCCACTGCAACACACGAGACGTCATTCACGCGCTTCAGAAACGTGGAGCTCCTGATCTTCACGTGCGTTTGGATTCCCCCAAACGGATACTGCTCCACCCACAGTGTGCAGACGCTGAAGAGGTTCGCATCCGCGTTATACAGAGTGAAGTCCATAAACAGCGCTGAGGTATTCAAGTCCAGCCACTTTTTGTCCCTTAGGTAATTCAGCACCATCATGCTTTTGGCGCGGGTATCGCAGAGGAGGTTCTCGTAGCCCGTAATTTCGGGATAGGATATGAAGCCGCCTTTGTGACTGGTGCTTAGGATAATGCGGTTCTTAATATCGGGAACACGAGCCACCCACGGCTGATAGATCTGCCAGAACTTGTCCGTGTACATTTCCCTTACGTACGGCAATGTCCAGCCTTCCGAATAGTCCCTGTTGTCGAAGACGGGGTCCTTCAGTCCCCCCTTCAGTTTCCTGTTCCTCACTTGCCTCAGTCTCACCACTCCTAGCAACCTAGTCGCCTCCGCATGTTCCCACGGAATGCCACCGCTTATGTCCCCTGTGTCCGTGAAGGGATTGATTAGCGAAAGTTCGATGAAGACATACACACTCGGCAGGACGATCACATTGGAAAGACCCAAGGTCGAGGTGTGATTATACTCGAAAAGGGACCGCATGTTGGCAGTGTTAAAATATACCCACTGTTCTTCAGCCTGCTCCACGTTCATGGCCAACATTATCACAAACAGAAGGCACATTCTCTTGAGTTCCTGGGTGATCAGGTGGTACTTCAGGTTTAGTTCCTCATTGCGATGACTCTCCGTGATCAGCAGCTCACTGCGCAGAATTTGAAGCCGGAATCTAAGGCTTTCCACTAACGTCTCAGCCTTGACACTTGGATCGCGGACCACGACATCTTGAGTAGGCGGCCAAACAGCAGCATCAAGTGCCAATATGGCGAACCTGAGGGGCGTGAAGACGATGGCGTGAATCAGAACGACTGCCAGAAACGCAATCAGAATCAATTTGAACTTTTCCACCTCGTGGTTGAAGCCCGAGAACCACCATATGCAAATGCTGCATACGAATAATATAACCAGGGTCAAATAGAATATGGCGTTGCTATCGTTCTGGTCCGCCATTTTCTATAAATTGTTGCAGGACCTTACTCAGTTTTAGTTATGTTGTAGGACCTTTCTTTTGACTCTAAAAACGAGGCTTGTTTGATGAAATTCTTTTTCATTGTGGCACAGAAATGAGTTTACTTTAATTTCTTTTTAGGTTCCCGCAGAATATCATTTAATTTTCAATAATGGGAATATGAATATCGAAGGTTTTCTGCTAATTTTCTTATATTTCGCAAGACTTGAGTTGCTGCTCATTTTGTTGGCTGCTCGCAGTAATTCAAAACTCTGTAAATTATTCACCTCTCTGCTCTCTGTATCTACTGCAAGCCGGCTTTAATTTCAATTGCCTGCTGGTAGTTAGTTAACCTTGCATTTCTTGGTCCTTGTCGGGGGCCAGCCGTTTACAAATTATTGTGCTATCAGTGGCACTTCAATGGGCTCCCAGCAGTTGCCACTTAAGGCAGCCGACAAGTGCAGCAGTTCGCCACCTCAGCCGCATACCACCCACCATTTCCCTGGGCATTTTGCCACCACCCACTGGGCCTGGGCTCTGGGGGGCAGGTTCCGAAAGCCGGGACTGGCAATAAAATTCCTAAACCTTTTTTGACAAATGAAACGTGCAACAAACAAGAAGCTCAAGCAGCTGCAGGCGGCAGAGCAAGTACGGCGAAGGCTGAAAACTCGGGTGCCAGGATGCAGGACCTGGGACCTGGGACACAGGACCCAGACCCGGAATCCCCGACTGAGCCGAGCTGCAGTGCCAACAAAGATTTATGCATTTTACAGGGCAGACTACGCTTTATGCGAAACTAAACGGCAAACAGTTTGAGTGAGGAAAGCTTTCACTCTCCTTACAGAGAGAGAAAAAATGGCTAGATTGCATTTTACATATGAGATAGCTATATTATTTTCAGTCTTTCTTATCACTGAAATATTTTTGTTTTCGGAATATTTTAGTTTCCAAAATGTATCGTTTGATTTCAGTGTACTCTTAAGGGAAGCGGAAATGAAGCATCACATGCACCATGCCTTGCTTAAAGCCGGGGCTTCGGGGGAGGAAGTCTATTGTGCCTTTTAATAGACTGAACTACACGGCATCCGACTCTGAGCGCTGGCATCCTGGCACTTTGTTTGCTGGCAAACATTTGTGCAGCTTATTAATATGCACCTCCTTCCTCATCGGGATTAGCTGGAGGAGCAGGTGGCAGGTGGTCTGCCGCCCCGCTCGCAAATCGGCAAATTTTATCTCCTCGGCCAAGTGCAAAAGTTTTGGCTGTGCACGGTCCGTATCGAAAAGTCGTTAGTAAGCTGACCGCAGAAATATGTGGGGCGAAAGTGCAGCGGCTCAGTGGAAACTTGGGGCCAGCCGGACCCTGCAATGCCTTTCGTCGCAGTCGCAGTTGCAGTTGCAGTCGCAGTCGCAATCGGAGCAAAAAATGCCCAACTTCGCCCTAAGACCTGCACTTAGCCCGCACAAAAGTTTAGGAAGGCGTGCAAACTTTTTCCACTGAGCCGGAGATGAAACTGAAGCCAAAGCTGAAACTGAAGCTTCAGTCTGCTGTAAGTAGATTTGTGGACCCGGGCATATGTCTCACTCCGAGGGCAGTTGGGAGCCGAGGAGCGACTGCCATAAGTAAGTGCATAATAGGGTTAATAATTATGCTAGTCTGGGAAGCAGGGGCCTGGAATGATGAAATTTATGAATGTGGAGTCCCTGGATGATGAGCGTCGGGATATTTATGATTTGATTAAACGAAAGAGGCTGCGCGAGATGGGGGACTTGTAAAGTTTGTCCTGGAGCAAAGGCAAGATATTATAAAGGTACGTCAGGCTAATAAAGAATAATGAGTGTTTGGAGTATAGAAATTGGTATGGAACATTTTTTATATATTCCTCAAGATATGACTCTGTTCTTAAATAAATTTATACAAATATAAATCTCGCACCCTTTCCCGCTGAGAAACCACCATTAATCATCAAAGCTCAACACATGCAGTTATAGATTTGTCAGGCACCCACACACAAAGCACGCTTCCCCTTCCGCCGGAAAATCAAATTAAGCTAAAATTAAAAGCAACAACAAACACACGAGCTGTGTGCACTCGGGGAATACTCGACGGAGAATAGTGCCATTCATGGGGACTCGTTTATTTTTTGGCAAACACACAACATATGCGTCCCGTTGACAAATAAAGTTTACAGATATGCACACACTAACACAAACAGGGAGGGGGAGGCAAAGCTGACACACACAGATAGGGCGGAAGGAGGGCCAAGAGAGATGGCAACGCACACGAGTAAACAATGGCAAACAAGCGAATGAGCAGATGGTTAGGGCCCAAAGAAATGGTCGAGGTGGCACACAACTCCCCAATGAAATAGTTTATGGTAAACCGCAATGCGAAAAATGTCACCTCCTGGCAAAAATGAGCAAGACAGGGGGCCGTGAGGGGTCCGGAGATGGAGATGGCGATGGCAATAGCAATAGAAATGGAACTGAACTGGAGCTGGGACTAGAGTTGAAGCTGGAGATGGAGGGGCGCATCCAACTGGCTAAACAAGTGCGGAAGTTGTTTGCGTTTGCCGCTGGCAAAGGCCGAGCGGAAGCGGCCTATTGGGCAATGGCGGCGACGGCAGTCTACTGTCGCCACAAAACGGAAATGAGGCAACTTGGCTGCCACATGGGGCGAAAATGACGCCGGCTGACAATATCTGACACCCAGTGCTGAACTCGGGCCCTGATCGGAACCTTAAAGCACTCTGGATCGATGGACGATAGCTCTTTTCGATTCCAAACAAATATACTTTTAGTTTATATTAATTCAACTATTCGATATTTATTGGATCGTCCCAAAATGGGTTGACGTGTTTATTCGGCTTAAGCTAACCTATGAACCTAACTTGGTGGATGTGGCTTACTGGTGAGTCTGTGGCAGTCCCACTCCCTGAGAATTGTAGCACCTTTACGAATTTTACTTGGGGACTAGATTCTGGTCTTTATGGCCCTCGCAGTGGTGGCTCTGTGAAGCCCTCGTTTCGAGACTCGCATCGCTTGGCATCCGCTTCCGTGGGCACCACATCCTTGGCCAGCTCCAACAGCTTTTCCAAGGGGCACTGGAACTCACAGCCGGGCACCGTCAGCTTCTGGGCGGGAGCTTTGGGATCGTTGCGGAAGTATATCTCCACCCAGTATTCCCCGGTTTCCTTGTTTCTATGCAGTTCGAATAGGACCATGGAGGAGTAGCGGGGCAGCTGTCGCTCCCAGACCTTCAGGGCGGAGAGAACATTCACCACCGTCGAGTCGTGGCCCGTGTAGATGAACAGCTTTCTGCCATTGGGCTTCAGGGTTCCGTTCTTCTTCTGCTGCATTTCGTCGAACATCTTCTTGAGGAAGGGCCCGCCCTTTATCTTCTGCATTTCGGGCGTGTAGACGTTATAAACGTAACTCTGCTCGGCCAGGAACTGCATTTTCTCGGGGAAGTACGAATGGGTCCATTCGGGCAACTCCAGACCCCACTCCTGTTCGGCCAGCAGGGTCAAATACAGAGACTGCACGTCCTCGGGCTCCTTGAAGCTCAGGCCGGTGTGTTCCTCTAACTCCTTGAACATTTCCAGGTAGGGAGCGATTTCAGCTTTCACCTCAGGTAGCTCGTAGACTTCGTTAAGGGCCTCAAAATATCGGGGGCATGGAGTACGGACGAGCAGCAACTGTAAGTTAATATTAATAGGTATTAAATATAAAGTATTACTACATTATATAGTGCAAACCCTAAAAATATATTTTATTTTGTTTACTTTAAATATCGCATTGTGTTGTCATCACTTATAGATAGATTGATCTGCACTGTGAAACCGATACTTTCGATTAATCACTTCAGCTATCACGTATACGCACCGTGTCCTCATTGAGCTCCTGGGAAAAGACAGGTATGGGCTGCCAATTAAACCGACTATTCCACTCCATGTCCGTGCCCTTCGGCGGGAAGAAGGCGGCCAAAACAGTCTGCATGGTCATGTGAGTCCGCGGAACACCCGTCGCCTGAGCGTGGACCAACTATCGCAGCAAAAGAAAGCGGAAGAGAAAGCGGTGAAGCAGATATGGAAAGGGAGAAGGAAAAGGAGAAAGGAAGGAATTGAGTGATGAGCCAAGCGCGCTTGAGCTTTGCAATTTGTAAACGTCCGCACTATCAGGCCACCGCCTCACGGACGTGTTGGTAGGGGCGTATGGAATGGGTACACAGAGAGAAAATAAAGCACTAAACTTGATTATTTCACATATTTGTATTAAAATTATCAGGCAAGCTTCAGTTTCAACAACTTTTAAATTAATTATTCAATTAATATTGGATATTCAATTAAATATTGGATTATACTTTTAAGCCTTTTAAAATATTACTTTAAAATATAGTAAAATCATATTAATTAAAAAAAAATAATATAAATGAGGCTCAGTTTTTGATGGGAACACTAAAGACACCAAACATAATTTAGTGCATAAAACATTCTAAGAAAAAACTAAATCGTTTTCTCTCTGTGTAGGGCGGCAAGGGGTTGTTCGTTGTCGGTTCGTTAGTGACTGCTTACTCACATCGGGACTGTAGTTGGGCGCCAGAAATTTGCCATAACGCTTACGCAGCCAAGTACCAATGTTGAACAGCTCGCGTTTGCCATTCTGGAGCGTTGATTTATTGCATGGCATGAGCGGATGGCACGTGAGACAACACCAGAAGAAGGGCGCAGAATTGGAGAGCCGGCGAGCGTCCGAGGAGACAGAGATGGAGAGAAGTGTTATAAAATAATAAATGCCTTGCATTTTTGCAATTGCATAAACATATGCATGTGTATATGTTAATGCAGCCTTCCTCCCCCAGCCCCCCTGTTCCCTTGGCTCTACCAGCAAACATTTGCATTTCAATTTATTTAAATGCTTTGCTGGGAGAGATGGGACTGGGCCAAGGCTTGGGCTTGGGCTTGGGTTTGGGTTTGGGGGATGACGAGGCAAAAGTTTGTGCTGCCCAACTTCCAACTTTTTCTGCACTCACATTTGTTACTTGTCCCCAGCCAAATGGATAGTAGGTCTCATTTACATACGGATCCTTTGGATACGTATCCGCCGGCGTTCGTGGTCCATGTCGGAATACCTGAAGTTTAGCAATTACAATTTTTATTAGTCAAATGGATTCGCCACACTGCAGTACGACAAATAAATAACATACAGACGTGTCAGACAATCAAAAGGCAGAAACACATTAATTAGCTGGCGGCGTTAAATGGGAGAGTTTATAATTATTCTTAAATTAGTATTCAGAAAGATTTCTCTTTCTAGTAAAATTATAATTAATAGCTAATTTAAAGACCTACTATATAAATGTATCTCAAATATATTAGCTAAATTTTAAGCTGCAAACTTTTAAGGTAAACATAAATGTTTTGCTCTCTGGCTTATTAATTCTTTTACTTAAGAGCTTGTATTATTTTTATTTATTTTGAAACGAGCTAAAGACACTCCACACGCGACTGATTAATACGCATCTATGGCTCGTGCGACCCCAGATTTTCACGGAAGCATTTTCCCCGCTCGCGATCTCTGTTCCGTTTAATTGCTCCAGCTCTCGGGCTGATAAGAAGGCGTCTTGCCTGAAGGTCATCCCTGATCTCTGGATCGGACTGCGTCTATAGCCTTTTCTAGCACACTATTCTGTGGGGTGTTCAGTCCGTAGCCCACACAAAAAGCAAAAGTGCGTCGCAGTTTTATTTTATAATTTTATTTTACGTTTGACTGCGGGGACTGGTTTTTGTGCGAACTGTAATTTAGGGAGCCGGTTTTTCGGTTTTGCTTTGATTTTGTTTGGTTTTTCGGGTTTGTAATTAATTTTTGTGTTGTTTTTTGTGGGTCTTTCAAAGATGTACGAGCTGGCAAAGTTTAAAATCGACTTAATTAAAGTAAGAGTTATTTTGGCAGAATTTTTAATATATGCGTTTATACAGGTTTACTGGTTTTATTGCGACTAAATAAAAGTATTTACGTAATTAAACAGCTGGAATGAATAAATGAGCATCACGCAAACTAATTTGATACATTTTTTGCGTTCTTTAATTGGATTTCCCCAGGTTTCCATTAAGAGCCACTAAAGTTGTTAAGTGATTTTTCCAAGGTCAGCCCAAGCTTCATAAAACCAACTCACTTTTAACTCGAATTGCTGTAAAAGAATTATCTAACGCTTGGGAAATATTCTCAGCTGAACTTCTCGCCTGGCTGCACTCGATCGTGTTTTTTATCGAGAGTTGTTGGTAATTATACAATTCCACGTTATCTGAATCGATGAAACCAGACAAATGGCTCAAACAGCTGATACAATACAGGTGGTAAAAGCCAAGACTTATGCTATATCTATATCTATCAAACAAGTTCACTTTCCGTACTAATGAAAGCGATTAAGTGACCGAACAGAATCTTATCTGCTACCGGAGCTGACAGTCCGCTAAATTGTACTACAATCATAATTATGATTTAACACACGGCTACAAAAAAAAGTGCCTGCCTTTGCACTTTCCTTTAAAATGTTTATAAACAAATGCTTTATCAACAGAATGTGTGTTTTTTCACTGCCCACGTAAATGTCAATGCCACGGAATTTCTGAATGCGGTAAACAAAATTTTGTGAGCCACTGCCATAAATGTATTATGTTCGTTATCAGCTGGATTTTCGCTGTAAAGATTACTGCTGACGCCGGAATATTATTAGAAGCGGTGCTAATTGACAAGGCCTTTTTTTAGGATATGTAGTATATGACTTTAAAAAATTATAAACACATTGTGGCTGGGCTTCATCACTGTAAACTGTTTTTTTTTTTCAGGTGATATAATTTATGGGAGCTTTGTTTTTTTGCCTCTACCTATATTCCTACAGTTGTTGATATGACATATTTAATGCTTTAATGATTGTGTTCAGAGATTATTTAACTTTTAAATAAAAAAGTTTTATATCAGAAAAGGGTTTATAATGTCATAATTATATCAGTGATCGTCACCAAGTCAGAGTTGTTATTTTGTTGAGTAATTCAAAATATTAATACTACTGTAAAGAAAGCTTTTTCTTCACAAAAAGTATTGTTAGTTTCTCATATTAATTCACTAATTATTTATAAATTATTAGCAATTATAAGTATTTGATTTCAAAAATATTTGACACTGAATTTCTTGAGTATGTGATTATTACTATACATTTGTATATTTATTTAATTCACTAATTTCACTAATAATTAATATAATTTTGTGGCTTAAAGTTGTGCACATCTTTGAAAACAAGATACTTCCTTCAAGCCAAACACAAACAGAGTTTCATTTGAATTTTTGTCTGGCTTAAAATTCTTCTACCTCTAAACCACTAAACTCTATATTTTTAGTAGAGTGTAGTTATCACTTGAAGTTTCGCTGCACAGCTGTTTTGTGTTTCCGGAATTGTGTTTATTATTTAATACATTTTTAATTCCAGACTCTCAGACTTAGACTTTCGATTCATCGAGTGACGATGCGCACTGACTTACCACATGGAGCAGCTCGAGCGTGGATTTATCAGTGCCGGGATCGTAGAGCTTGGCCGACGACTCGAGCGCCGAGTGAGCGACGCACCAGATGAGAACCGCCGATGCAATTAATCCGCCAGTCATCGCTAGACAATGCCTCCGAGTGAAATGCGACCGCGGCATTTTGTTGGCCGGGCTTTATACTCGTAGAATTTGTCAGGGGCTCGGATTCTCCGCCGTCGCGCTTTGGGTCAATTCTGCGCTGTGCTCCGGTCTCCGGTTCGCCTCTTGGGAGTCAACGGTCTCGGGACAGATCGAAGACTAACTTGTTATGATGGCGTTTGGCTTGGACTTTATTTAGTTTTGTGTTTATTAAGCATACGAATTAATTAAACTAACTAATTTACAAAGACGGCGGGCAACAGGTTTTCGGACGGCAAGTGTTTCTCCGAGTGTAGAGCCACTATCTTCTGTTTGCCCTCGAATAGCTATGGTAAGCCGATAGTAATATTTATATGTTCGACTTTTCCGACCGTGGCACGCGAGCACTATCGTCCGGAACACTGCGGGGTGAGTGTCATTGCAGAGTCGAAAAGTCGAGCGTTTGACTCTTTTATCGTTCCATTATCGCCAAATGCTTTCGTCACCGTCGCCGCTCTCTTTTATTACTATTTTATTCTATTTGTCACTGTGGCCGGGGGTCTATTGTACGGGAACTATAGAGTCACATGTGTGTTTGACCGAGGGATGAGGACCAGAAGCCCGGACACCGACAACAATACCGGAGCGTTTGAGGCGTCTTGAAGCGCGCCCGCGACTTTTAATTTATATGAACTCTCGGATTTGCTCCGCTTATTTCTTTACCCGTAATCTCCTGGCTGGCGCCGCCGCCCCCGCGTCCAAATACCAACGAATTTGTCATCCGAACTGCGTGTGTGAACATTCCGGTAATAAATCGCCTTTTTTCCCGATCGAGCATTATGTTAATTTGGTATTATCCATTCGCGTTGCTTAATTGCCGAACTTGAATATCGCCTTTTGGGGCTGGGCTGGCGGCTGGTCCGGAAGCTTTTGTGGAGTGCTGGTGGTGGTGTCCATTTGCCCTTTTGTTTTGATTTTTTTGTTTTCTTTTTTTGTGTTTGCCGTTTGGTGATTTACTTCCGATCCGAGTGAGTGAAGCCGCAAATGCCAACTGTTGGGCTTTAAGTGAAACAGAGCACTTTTTATATGATGGATGTGAGCCCCAATGGGAGAGAGGGTTGATTAAGATATGCACAATGCATTTTGTAATCGAAATAGTTATTATAACATTTCATAAATTGTTGAAAATCTTAAAAGTTGTCTGTATATGCTGAAATAAAAATATTATAACGTACAAATATCATGAACAGTTCAATCTTGTGTGCTTAAAAATTATAATATTGTATTTGGAGGTGTTGTAATACTATCAATATCACTTAATACTTTAATATAGCATGTCAGAGAACGAATCTTTTAATCTTCTGAGACAAACTTCGTTTTCAACAACGATACTTAATTTTATTTTCCATAGACACAGCAACCCTCCTTAGCGTTAACTTTGCCTAAAAGTATGCCACAAAGAAAAGTATACTTTGGCATGCAAGAAACATGATTGTCTATGCTGAAGACCTGGTCTTCTTTAGTTTAGTTTAGATTTAAACAATAATAATAATAATATATTTATTTTAATAAGCAATACTCACAAGACCAACAGAAAACCTCCTAAATATAGCTTGTTAAAATATTTTAAACAAAGTTCTCAATACACCTCCTGATATTATGAAAAGTTTGTTTCATCATCAAACAAGTTCAACTCATACCTGAAAACCTATTTTATAAGTACATACACCTCCCTTGCGTGCCCGTCAATCAAACACTGAAATTAAAGTTACATCTAAGTGCTATTTATATTTCTTGTTTACATAATCTTAATACTGATCGATCAATGATCATTAATCATGGAATTCTGCTAGCTAATTATAGCTGATCTTGGCGCCTTCTAGGGTGCCCTTGGCCCTGCAGAGCTCCTCGTAGGGGGCGTTGGGTAAAATGTCCTTGATCAGCTCCTGTAACTTTTCAATGGGACACTGCTTGTCGCATCCTGGAATTTGCAACTGCTGTGGTTCCTCGTCGGGATCGTTCTGGAAGTAGATCTCAAGGAAATACTCTCCAGTTTCGGACTTCTGATGCAACTCGAAGGCGATCAGGGCCGAAAACCTGGGCATTTGAGCACTCCAAACATCCAAGGCTGACAGTACATTTGTAATGGTCCAGTCGTGGCCACAGGATAGGAACATTTTGCGATCCTTCGGCTCCAACTTGCCAGAAATCTTGGCCTGAATTTGTTTTAGCAGGAGCTCCAGGAAGAAGCCTCCCTTCATCCTGCGCAGCTCGGGCGTATATGCATCATAGACGTACGACTTTGACGCCAAAGGAAGCATCTTGGCGGGGAAATAGTCCTTGGTCCAGGAGGGCAATTCCAGACCATAAGTCTGCTCACAGAGCAGTGTGATGAATACGCTGGTGACATCATGGGCATACGTCACGTTAAGTCCGGTGATATTGGTCAGTTCCTGCAAAAGCTGGGAGTTCTCAGCATGCAGCTGCTTCACCTCCGGCAGGTTCATCACTTCGGAGACAGCCTCCTCATAGCGGGGACACGGCGCCTTCATCCTTATGCGCTGCAAATAGTAATCATATTAAATTCACAAAACAATATCCTTAAAATATAATATATTCTCACCACATCTGTTTCCTCGGGCTCCATCACAATGGGAATGGGCTGCCAGTTGAGCATCAGGTTCCACTCCATCGGCGTGTTCTCCGGCGGAAAGAGTCCGGCGAGCACCATTTGCAGTGACATCAGGGTGCGCGGCGACTCCGAAGATTGGGCACGGATCATCTGGAATGGCAAACGAACTGATTACGTTTAATGCCCCTGAGCTTGCTCCACTTATCGTACATCGGGCTGATAGTAGGGGGCCAGGAAATCTTTATAGCGCTGACGCAGTTGTTTGCCTATTTTATACAGCTCCACTTTAGCACCCTGTCAGATGGAAATTGCATTTTAATTTGGATAATCTTGCTTGTATTTGCCAAATACTCACATTGGTAAGTGCCCCCCATCCATAGGGCTCATAGGTCTCGTTGATATGTGGATCATTCGGATAAGTGTTGACGGGAGTGCGGGGGCCATGACGAAATAGCTGGCGGAAAATAAAGCACATTATAAATATTAAATATATAAAGAGTTTGGAAATGATTGCAAACATTGTAGCTAAAAAGTAATAATATATTGTATATATATAAATTAGTAAATATATAATAATAAAAATAGTAATATCTTTATACTCCCCAGCAAACAATTAGTTAAATGTAGAAATATATACTAAATAATATAAATAATACAAATAGTTTCTTTACCAGCTTTATTAGGGAAAGAATAAATCCAACAGGATAGGTGATGTTAAAGTAATTAATTATATCTTTGCCTTTAATTAAACACACGCTGATTTTAATGATTTTTAATTTATGCACCTACATCGATTCATTCCCGTAATTATTTAATTTAATTGAGTTATAATCATGCAAATTGAAATGGGGGAAACAAATTATACAATGAGTTGCCCCATAAATTTGAAGTTTAAGTTCCACTAAACCGGTTTCAGGTCTTGGTACTTAATGCAATATTACGTATACGCCGCGTAAACTGCAAGCTGGTTTCGCTTGGGGTGGCCCGAGCGGGGCTTTGAAGAGAACAGGAAGGAAAATTTACGAAATCATGGATATTTTTTTTCCTTTATACAATTTAATAACAATTAATCAGTTGTTGGGTTTATTATACGGTCTGTTGGCTTGCTTAGTTAGCAAATTTATAACGAGCACTAATTCTTAACCACTTATTTCAATATCTTTTTATTTTTTCACATATTTACCACATGCACTAGCCTTAGGGTTGAGTTGCTTTCTCCGCTCTTTGGTGGGGGAAGGACCTCTGGAGTCTTGGAAGTTTCCTCGATAGCCTGGCTAACCTCCTCGGGGATCTCGATAACACCTCCTCGAACCAGTAAGCCACAGCCCACGACGAGCAGCAAGACAAGGAACTTTAGCATTTTCGCAAAACTAAATTGTGCGAATCGTTTGGAATTAAGTGGACCGGCTTCGTTGGGGCTTGTGTGTTGAGTGACTGCATCAATAGAACTGCGGACTGCTTTTAAGTCTCGATTATGTACTCGCTCTGGCGCATACATATATACTTATATAGATAAGAGCAGCGAAGAGCAGGCGCTCAATCAGCGCAATCATCAACTACAATAGCAAACATTTCGCAAAAAATTCTATTTAATTATTTTCACACGAATATTATTCCCCCCTCCCAAGAAATTAACTCAACGATCTCCTGGTCTGTTATATATTTTGGGGATTTTTATTCTGTAGAGTATATGCATATTTTTATTCACATGGTAATACTGAGTGCAAACATTTCACTTTTGGCTACACGCTTCTCGCTAACGGCCAGTCTGATCGATTATACGCGGTGGCGGCTCCACGAAGTTGGCGTCATGGGGTCGGCACCTCTGCTCCACCGACTCGTTGGGGAGAACGTCGGCACTCAGTTCGATCAGGCGACTCAGAGGGCACCGCCGGTCGCAGTCCCTCAGCTGCAGCTGCTCCACGCACCCGTGCTCGTCGTTGCGGAGGAAGATCTGCGGTTAGGGAGGCGAGGAAGATAATTATGAGAAACCCTTAAGGAGTTACAAATTACCAGTAACTAACACTACTTTCGCTTACCTCCACATAGTATTCTCCCGTCTCCTTGTCCCTGTGAGTCTCGAAGATGGCCATCACAGCGAACCTGGGCATTTGGCGCTTCCAAACGCCCAGGGCGGACAATATATTACCAACGGTCCAGTCGTGACCTGTGTAGATATACATTCCTCGGTCCTTTGGCTTCAGGCTGCCGGCTCTCTTGGCGACCATTTCTTTATACATTTTCTTTAGGAAAGGCCCGCCCTTGATCTTCTGCATCTCAGGCGTGTAAGCGTTGTAAACGTAGCTCTGCTCGGCCAGGAACTGCATGCGATCGGGAAAGTAGTCCCTGGTCCATTCCGGCAGCTTATAGCCAAACTCCTGTTCAGCCAACAGGGTTATGTAAAGGGAATTTACATCCTCGGCACTCTGAACCAGTTTTCCGGTTAAATTAGTCAGCTCCCGGAACATTTGCTCATAGGGTTCCGTTTCTGCAACTACTTCTGGTCTCTTAAAGACCTCCTCGAGGGCCTCGAAGTAACGGGGGCAGGGTGTACGAACTAGCAGCAACTAAATCGAGCACTTATGGTTAGCAAAGATAGGGTTAGATGAACATTTATAGTAGAACCCACCGAATCCTCGTCCAGGGGTTCGGATACAATGGGAATGGGCTGCCAGTTGAGGTGTTTGTTCCACTCCATCGGGGTTCCGCGGGGCTCAAACATGCTGGCCAATGTTGTCTGCAAGGACATCATTGCTCGCGGAGAGGCAGTGGCTTGGGCATGGAGTCGCTGAGGGAATTAGAATGTTAAAAAACAGACATTTCTGGTACAACGATAACTTACATCGGGTTTGTAGTAGGGTCCCATAAAGTCCCCATAGCGGCGATGCAGCCAACGACCCATTTCAAAGAGTTCTCGTTTTCCGGACTAAAAACAAAGCAATAAAATTTAGTGCTTTTGGTCAAAATGCCAAATATTTTCATAGCCAATATAAAAGGCTAATCAACTTTGATCAGATAGATGTGTATAGTCACTTAAAATCACAACACTATAATTTTCTTTATCACTCACATTGGTCACATGTCCCCAGCCCGTTGGCTTAAAGCCATCCTTGAGGTACGGATCCTTGGGATACGTGTCGACAGGCGTGCGAATGCCGTGTCTGAACACAATGTGCACTAATTCCAAGGTGGAGTGCGTGGTGTTGGGACTGGTCTTGTAGCACTTCGATCTGGCCGCATCGTTCCAGGGAAGCTCCTTGGAGGAGGCACTGCTGTTAAGGACACCGATCACAATCACAACTCCCAGAAGGGCAGCTCCCAGGCCAAACATCGTGAGTATTTGCTTACGCGTCCAGCGTCCGAATATCATTTTGAGGCTGGATTACCTTTTATACACCTTTTTGCGAGACAACACAACACGGAAGAGCACAGAACGGATATTCAGAGCTGCCGAAAACGGGATTTTTGTTGTATTTTGTCGCGTTATTTATTTGTTTTTTGGCTAATTGCACTTCGATGCGTTGCGATTTTTACGGCATCAAACTTCTGGGTTTCAGGTGAGCTGCAAGGCGCGTGTAACTCACAGCGCGTCTGGAGCTAAAATAACGCGTTGACAGCTTGATACGGAGAACTTAAAAGAGAGATAAATCAGCGCTCGTCTATTCGGCCATAGTTGCGTCAGGTGTCGTTATTGTTGCTACTACCGATTTCGTTGTCCACTTTCCACCGAACTCGGCTGAGAGCTGGGTTTCCAAGCCAGGCTTGGCAGCTCTGAAACAAAGCGAGAAAAACCCACTAATTGGGCGTTTCTCATTGAACCAGGCAATTACGTATACGCGATGTATGAGTAGCGGAACGCCGCTTTTTGGTAGCAAACAACGGTGCCACCAACCCCTTTTGGGTCTATTTTTAGCCTTGAAACGCCCTAGGCTTGGCCAGTATGGTCTTTGGTTTGTTATTATGCGATGTTGCTGGTGATCCAGTTCCTGGCAAGTAAGTAAGTATTATAGGCTGTGGTTCCTGCATTTGTTTTTAAGCGCTCATATAAATATATCATACCTTCATAAGATCAATTATTAATGCAGATTATTTGAGTATTTTTATATAAATTAAATATTTTTATTGCACTTTTTTACTCTTAAAACAATAATACCTTCAGCATTGCTTTGATATCTTTTTATCAGATTTTCTTAGCAAATGTATGGAAATATAAGAGACAGATTATTAACCATGTAAGTAAGTTAAAAATGGATTATTTCATAGAAGATATCCCATATGCTTCATCAAATCTTCAATGTAAAAGTTAAAAATCCATGTAAATACTTTCGTGCAAATGTTTTTTTCTTTAGAAAAGTTATTTAATTCTTTTTTAAATGTACTAATATTATATACTATCAATTTTATTAAATTTAAACTTGCGAAGATGCTGCTAAATCACCATATAAACCGAGTTAGTTAAGTAATCGTAACGAGTAGACCTGTTTCCATCTCATAAAATTCACAATTCTAGATTTATTTTGACAATTATTTATTTCCCCAAAGCATCCTCTTGGCACAAGATGTCTTGAAACTACAATCGTCTGCCCCGATTGGCTCTGAAATGACAGTTGTAGCAGAATCGTTATATATTTGTGCACTAATTATTGCGTTGTTTTCTCTTATTGACACTGCGTCTGATGTGAGATAATAATTTTAAGTTGCTTATTCGCGATTTCGTCTGTTTAAACAAGTGGTTCGGAGTGAGTTGTTTTATTTCTACGGCTGTCGGAACTTGGCAAACAGAGAGACACCCAGAACAACTCTATCCCTCGGTCTCTTTGTTTGTTTCATATGTGTTTGGAGTCGCATTCGTTTTTATTTTGTTTGCCCAAAAGCTAATTAACTGGATCGGACCGACACAGTCCGTTGTCAAATTCCTTGTTTGTAGATCGACTCGTTGCAGTGCGGCTAATTGTTGTCTAAAACGTATTTAATCGCTAATTAATGACAGCGTCGGCGACTTAACGGTGTCTTAGCCAGCTTCCGAACAGAGCAATTACCTTCCAAAAAATAAAAATAAAAATGAAAAACAAACAAAAAGTTGACCGCTTGCTTAGTACTCTAGAATTTCGTGATTGTCAGTGACTCTTGTCTGTGTGTCTTGAACTTTCGTCTAGTTTCAGCTCAACTAAAATCAGAATCAATATAATTTATAAACACACGGCACAGAATAATGGCAGCCTGGAACGAGAGCAACGCAATTGGCATTTGAATTGCATCAGCTAAAAGGCGATTAACATTTTTTACAGTCGAACAGTGAAAATAACCGCCTTGCCAGCGCACTGGAAAAGTTAAGTTCAAGGGAATTGGGTTAATTCAAGTGAAAGACAATTTTAGGAATCAATACTAGTGGCTCAATAATAATTCTTATAAAAAAAAAAAAAACCGTTAAATTTGTGATTAGTATTTCCTAGATAGCGCAAGTTTCTTATCATCATAATGAGTAATTCACTAGTATTTTGATTTATTGTGTATTTGCGGCAACTAAATGTAAATACATATGTACATACATATGTATGTATGTATGTACATTCCCCGAATTGACAAATAGAATTATTTAATATATTCTTCTTATCTTTTCAAGCTTAATAAATCCTTGGAGAAAGTATTCATCTTGACGACCTTGAAAAGCTATGTACATACATATTTATATTGGTGGTCTTTTTAAATAAAAAAAAATATTATTAAATTTGAGTTTTTGGAAACCATGATGAAGGAAAATAATGCTACATGTGTACATAACATCTATGAGTGCTTTTACCAACTCAATGGCTTAGAGTAGTTGATTACATATTAACAATTTAATGCTTATTTGAAAGTTATTGTTAAAAACTTGAATATAGAAGCTTATGATTCTAAAACTGAATATATTTGTAAGAATTTAGCAATACTAAATATAAAATACAAGCTGAACCAAAAAGGTTTCCTTCAAAATTACCATAAAATTTGGACAAAAACAATAATATTGCATATATCAATTGCAGTTATATTTATAAAAAAAAAATTATAAATATATACCTATAAATTGGTTGGAATATTTTGTTGTATTTATTTGTCTTAAAAATTTTTGTTTTCATATATCAAATACGTTTACTAAGTTTTACTTGACCGGGGTACACCCACTTTGGTACTTTCTCAAATAAAAAATAATCACATATCACTACTACACTTAACAAATTAACTTTAATATATGTACATATATTTACTTTCATGTGTTTTTTTTTAATATTTCTACAGAAATATATATTTAAAATAACAAAAATCCGATAGTTTCAGCTGATAGCCTCTGGTGTTTACTCATATATATTTTAGAATTTGTTATTTTATTATTTGTTTTTCCGCACGTGTTCTGTTGTTATTTAAATAATAAATCATTTCTTTTAAATATGATTTGCGAAAAAAATTGAATAGTATGTTTTTCGTGAAACTGATTGTATAATTGATATATTAGTTTTGAAAAGTAAAAATCTAAATTGCCAATTGATCCGATGACATCTACTAATTACTCATTTATAATGGAATATTTTATTATACATTTCAGGGGGTCCCTTTCTCTGTAGCTTTTCAGCTTTTCTCGCACTCACGTGCTTCACATTCGGAATTTATATTCAGATTGCTGAATAGCTCTCCTTAACCTATTTGCTAATGACTTTCACTGAAATTTATGGACACTGCGCCACTCCTGGGCAAAAACAAAAGTATGCGGATCCCGAAAATATTTTCAAATAATATATTTGTGCTCGGCCTGGAGGAGGCAAGAGCTCGCACAGGAGCCTCAGAAGCCAGAAGTACATGTGCTAAGTTGGCCATAAAACGTGCATTAGACAAACAGCAGAAATGGGAAAACGGTTTCGGGCCAAAAGCGTCTTCAGGCGCACGGATCCGTCCGAACTCACACACACAGCTGGCATGGCATTAATATTTATCAGACCCGCAATTACGATTACCGACAGCACAGACAAACTATCGACAACCGGCGGCGGGGATAATAAAGCGGAGTGGTCAGAGGACCGGGGGGAAATCTAGGAAATTCCGCCAAATTGCCGGACAAAACGCTGCCGCGAAGCTGGCCAAAATTTATTGATTCCGACGCATTGAAAATAGTTCTCTGTGGGGCAATTCCAAAGATTTGTACGACAAATTTTTCTCCACTCCTCACGCGAATGTTTTGGCTGTTCTTTTTTTTACTTTTCGCTGAAATGGCTGAAAATTTCTAACTGACGGGAATAAAAATTCGACACATTCAGAAACTGGGCCCCGAAAAGGGGGCGTGGCAGGGTCCACCATTCAATGAGACAAAGAGCGCCGGACCCGGGGAAGGCTGCGTTCGGGGATTACGTCTGGACCGCGTTTTTTGGCAGCAATTTTAAGGGGACGATAGGTCGAAAAGAACTGGGGAGGGGGGTGGTGGAAAAGCGCGGGGAAATTGTCGGAAAATCGTGGTATGGGCTGGGACTCTATGTTGTCGCCTAAACGATAAAGCAATGACAAAAGTCAGCAACGATTAAAGTTCAATTGGTGTGACCTGCCAATTGGCATAAAGGAAAAGATTTCGAATGGCAGCCAACTTGGAAAAATGTGGAGTTGAGTGGAAAAGCGTGTGGGAAAAGGCCACACAAACGGGTGTGAAAATGGCTGCAAAGGAAATTTGTCAAAAAATTGTTTGATTAAAAAAGACAAATGGTTGTTGAACATTTAACTAAGGAAAATAAAGCAAAATTTGAACAATTAATTGTATTCTTTAGAAAAATAAGTAAGCATTAATATGAAATATAAACATATACTGTATATAAAAAGGTATGACTTGGTTTACTAATATGTAAATAATAATATTTAAGAAAAATAATAATAAGGAAGGTTTACTTATATTTTGGAGTGAAGTTTTGGGTATAAATGGATACTGGATACAATGCAAATTAAATTAAATCATATTTCATTTTGCATTATTCAAATTTAAGTTGTTAGCTAAGTCTAATGAAAATGGGCAACAATAAATAAGTAATTTAACCACTAATACATATAAGTATATTTTAAAAGAAAAGTTGATTATTTAACTAACAATATAGTAATATTTTCGTACCAAAACTTAAAGTTTAAGAATCAATTTCAAAATATTATTTAAAAGAACTATGAAATAAATTATGAAAGGTTCCGTTTATTTTGATCCGTATTGTATTTTTTCTTGTTTTTCTTTTTCATAATTAAACTTTTTGAATCCATTCAAAAATATCCCTTTTAGTTGCATTCATGCAAGTCGAAATTATCCTTTGGACACACTTACAGATGTGTACACTCGCAGGAGCGTTTAATGCCTGGCCTGATTATCGCATATTAATGAGTTTATTTAACTTTTTCGTTGCGATTGATGGCCTAGACGTGAGGGGAAGGGGGGTTAGGGCCTGGTTAAATGCGCTCATCTCATGTGTGGCGGCTGTTTGTGAAGCTTTTCACAGCAAATTACAACAAATTATACACATAATTACGCTTTAATGCCTGGCCTACCCACGACCCCCCATTGCAAGCCCTTTGCTAACGAGGCCCCCTGCCACGCCCAACCACGCCCCCTTTGGGCACACCGACCCGCCCCCCAACCAGTGGTCGTCCTGTTCTTGTCGTGCATCGCATCAATGCAAAGTAAAATTGTGTGTAAAAAATGTGATAATTAACTTAAGTCCTTTGAGAATTCGCGGGAGCTCCAGGGGAAAGGTTACGGCCTTCTGCCCACATTTATATGTAAATATGTAAATGCATGTCTGTGCCGTGTCTGTTTGTTTGTGTACATAAACTCATTGTCAGTTAATTATGTAAAATGTCATACCTACTCGCGTATGCGGTACAAAAGAAAAAATGGTTTGCATTAAAGGACTTTGCTTTCACTTCAAAAATACCAAACACACACATGGACACCCACGATTACATTACACGTGTATGTATTTGCTTATGTATGTGTGTTGGGAGAGGAAGCCTAATTGTAAGGCTCTTGTCAGAGCTTCCTTGGGGTATATTGATTAGTCTGAGGCCTCAAAATGATATGCCTTTTAATTTTCTGTGTTTTTAATAATTGTGGTCTGGATTGAAATAAATTGTAGGAAGCTCTGGCTATTACTGGAATACAGCTTTAAAATATATAGAACTCT